GCATCGTTTCTATATAAAATGTTAGTTCGGTAGGGTTTTCAATCATTCAGCTTTGGCATTCTTTTTTGCATGTTCACAAGTCATTTCTTGGATTTTTTCTGTAAAAAAAATGTCACTATTTCAAAAAGTCTATCGTTTCCATATCGAATTTTATTTTTCATGTAATGCCCAGGACTTCTAGGATATCCCATTGTCCTTTGTAAATTTCCTTTTATGTGCGAACCGCATGCACATCATATGTAGAGCCTGGCATTTTGAACTTTATTTTTCATTTTTCCGGTATTTTTTGTATGGCAGATGGCAAATTCATGAAACAGCTTGCATGTTGTTGGCACATCAAAACGGAAACATGTTTAATTTTAATGTGCCTTGCGGGAAATTTGCAGTGAAAAGCAACTTTAAAATTGCTGACGACGACCGGACTTAAGGATGCGGAAGAAGGAGCAAAGGAAAATGGCCAATGGCAACTTGGGCGAGAATTGATTGATTGTATCTAAACAGCATTTGGGTCCTGTTTGGCTTATCGAAGGCAATTTGCGCCCCGGCGATTCGCTTTATTTAAATAGCCGGCCATTTTGGCCATGAACTTTAAGCCGCCTACGCCGAGCCCAAGAATGGTTCTGTGAAATATGTTCCCCATTATTAGTTTAGGCGCACCTTCTTTGTAGATCTTTTTTTTTGAAGAGAAAACCGCAGAATACTTTGTGAAAATCGATTTGTGGAAATATACAATTCAATGCAAGCTTGAATGTATATTCATACATATATCTTTGGTCCGAAAGTGGTTTAAAAATGGATGCATGTATGCAAACAAAACGAAGAAAGTGGGCAACGACATTTTAATGGATCTGCTAGACTTTCAATGGGCTGAGGCCTGCACTTGCAAGAAAATTGGCCATAAAATATGTAAAGGTTCGTTTTAAAATCTAAAATACCTTATATGTATTTAAAATATTGTTTTTAATACCAAATACTATGTGTTGTTATGATGTTTGTTGACGTTTTCTTAATATTTGTGGTACTTTCTTAGGCATTCTCGAAAGCTGGACTTAAGTTTCTTTAATTAAACATAAAATCTAAGAGGTATTTCACAATACAGAACAAGCTTTCTTACCTGATTTGTATGTAACAGAAGTACCTTTACTTTAACTTTCTTTTGACTTCACCTCCAAATACTTTCCCCTTTTAAAAACTCGCATTAAAACTCGATCAAGTATAATTTGTGGGATCCTGGCTGATAAGGAAATGGGTTTTCTGGCTTTTCCCTGGTTTTCTGTGAAGTTGGGGGCATCAACTGTTGATTGTTGGCACGTTGTCGTGCTCCATGTTGAACAATTTCCATTTCATATGCGAACCGCAGGACCGCAAGCCAACAAACTCATTAGGTTACTTTGTAGGCTCTCGACTTTTCCCCACTCCTATTACCTTGTTTTGGGTATTAAAAGCACGTATGCTAACATCCCTTTCGCCTTTAATTACAGGGAGTACCCGTGCGACCATTATACATCGGTGATAACAGTGACGCTCCTGATGACCGGCTGTCCCCGCGTGGAGGTCCATGCAACGGCTCTGCAGTTGCTGCAAATTCTGGACAAGCGATTCTTTGGCAGTGTGGTGGGCACTCTCCACAGCGACAACGAGAAAGGTATGAACATATTTTCCCCTGACGAGGTGGCAATAAAATAAAAATGAAGTGTCCACTTTTGAGGAGAACTTTGGTGGGGAACAATATATAGGGGGGATAGGGTGGGTGGGAGTCTCCCTGCGAAAATTCAATTTTAAAATGTCAACTGGTGGTCAGGAATTCGAATTGAAATGTTGGTATATTGCAATTTGTGTGTCCCCAAACTAATTGGTTTATGCAGTCAGAACTGAGATTGTAAAATAATATAAATCTTGATAGTTTTATATAGTGAATTAAAAAAATAATCGGGTATTAATTACCAATTTTTTTTAAATTTAAAGGAGGGATGTACATAGATTTCGGCACTCCGAAGTTTGTATACCCTTGCCGATTAAAATTCTGTCATTATATATTCTATATATTTATGCTAAAAAACAAAAAGTAATGCCTGCTTTTTTAACGATCGTATGTATGACAGCTATATAATATATATATAATATAATATAGTAGGCATATTTTCATAAAATTTTACACAGTATTTAAGACTATATACCAAACTTGATGAATTTCTCTTCAAAACTGGTAAAGTTTTTTCTTAAAAATTTCCGATCGTTCCTATGGCAGCTTTTTATATGTATATATAGTCCACCGATTCGCCATGCTCCGACTTATATACCAGTAGAATAACTGCATAGTTTCATTCAAAGAGCTTGCTCTTAAATTTGTTCCAAATTAAATCTCGCACATATGTATGTGCTTATAATTCCCAACTGGTTCTAACATCCCCAGAACGAAGTGACTTCTTTCAGCCAAGTCTCAGAAATGTGTCGTGTTACAAAAGTTGCAAGTCATTGTTTATTAGTGTTCAAAGTTAGTAACTGATCATACTTACTTACTGTTCAGAGTTACTTACTGGTCATAGATACTTTCTGTTCAAAGTTACTTAGTGCTCATAGATACTTACTGTCCAGAGATACTTACTGCTCATAGATACTTACTGTTCAGAGTTACTTACTGCTCATAGTTCTATAAATCGTCCGATTGTTCAGCTATATAAATGTATATGTATATAGTCCACCGATTCGGCATGCTCCGATTTATATACTATTAAAATTATATAGTTTCATTCAAATAGGTTGCTCTTAAATTTGTGCCAAATCAAATGTCGCACATGTGTGCATATGATTCCCAACTGGTCCTAACATCCCCGGAACGAAGTGACTGCTGCCAGCCAAGTCCCTCAAATGTGTTGTGTTACAAAAGTTGCATGTCATTTTTTATTAGTGTTCAAAGTTAGTAACTGATCATACATACTCACTGATCATAGATACTTAATGTTCAGAGTTACTTAGTGCTCATAGTTAATTACTGATTATAGTTATTAAGTGATCTTAGTTACTTACTGGTCATTGATACTTACTGATATAGATATACATAGTTAATTACTGATCATAGTTACGGCAGACGGATAAGAATATCAATTTAACGCACATAAATAGCAAGCTATATCGATTTACTAGCTTTTAGGTAAATGATCGATTATGTCTATTATCACTTAATAATTTTTCTTAAAGAACTCATTGTTGAAATAACTACAAGGCTTTGTGAACTTGACATGAGTTTTCCAAGAAAAACGAGTTCAAACTGTTATTGCTAGTCAAGTCCTTGATATATGAAACCCACCGCCCAACACTTCTTCTATATCATTTCCTGTATACAGAATGCGTTGTTTTATTAGCTAACACTCACATCGAATAACCAGACACTTTCGAGAATTCCCGTAGAGCAAATTCACCAGAAATGAAATTGCTAATGCTCCCGGGAACACATTGTCCGCCACTCTGGCACTATGGATACATATAGAAGGATGAAACAAGGCTCATCACATAAAATTCGCTGGGGAGAAATGAAAATCCCTCTCTTTATTTATAGAAACGGAAATTCAAAGTAGTTTGGGTTGATTGTAACACCATTTTTCCTTTGCTTCATCGACTAAATTCGGGAGCAAGTGTTGTGTTTGTTCTTTATGTTTTCGTTTCTGTTTGAATTTTGCATTTTAATTCCATATACACACGCATTACGTATACGCATGGATGTCCTGTGAAATTTTTATTGCCTTACATAAGAAGCTTTAACAGCTTTTTATTGATTGTGTGTCGAAGTTTGTTTACATTTCACGTTACAATTTTTGGGGCCATGTTTTGTGTATGTGTGTGTGTATTTTTTAATTCTCCTGGGCTTGGAGCTAATCTCCAAAGGTATTTTTCTACCCAAAATTGAACCTGGAAAATTGTTTTTTAACTTCCCAGAAGCGCAAGAAATCGCGTAGGAGTCCAATGTACTTTATAGCATTTTTGTAATTAGCAAAAATCTTAAATGCTTGCACTTGAAGGATTTTAAGAAAGTTCTTCCAGGGAGGACTTCCAAGTTGTTTACCCGGCAGTCACTCTCGACCTTTTTTTTTTCTTCCCTTGATGCTGTTTTTGGCTTTAAGCCGATGTTGTGGGTGTAGCGTTGTGTTGTGCTGCAACCTGAAAAGATAATAGTAAATCCCTGGGATTGGGCCAGTCCAGAGGACAGTGATGAGATGGAGGGCTTAGCTCTTCGCAATGTCCATTTCGAATTTCGAAAATTCAATTGCCTGTAAGTTGGCGAATTACCGAAAATGAGAGGCTTTATTCAGCCATTCAAAGTAGATTAAACGAAGGATTGCATAATCAGGTTTATTCAATTGGAAAATGATTTAAATGTTGCCACCGCTGCGGTCCTGCTATCCGGAGAAACCAATTAAAAGACTCCGGCCGCCGGTCTTCATTTAACGAAATTAACATTTATTACATTTATACATTCGATCGCTTGGTTTTTGGTTATTATTATTTAACTGGAATACATTTTAGTTCCGATTGATCCGTGGGGTTTTTCGTTTTACATTTCACGTTTGACGCTTTTGTATCTATGTATCTGCGGTTGGGATTTAATTAAAGTTGCTTGTGCAAATCAGCATGGAGTTGAATTGATTAGGTTTAGTGAGTGTAGCAGGTGTATTATTTAACAATTATTTTAGCTAGGCGTACATTTTTTAAAAGCGAAACGAAAATGGTTTTACCTAATTACTAGACTGGGTTAGTTAAACACTTAATTAAATTCAATGCGCTGTATACATTTCAATCTTAATTTGGTTTTTATCATTTTCCTTTGCCTTTTGGCCTTTGACAAAAAACATCATCACAAACATATTTTTACTTTTTCTTCGTCGTTTTTTATTTCATTTCGCTGAAAAAACTAATTTTTATTTGGGCATTTCCCCAACTCAATATTTGTTGCTTTTCCTTTTTCGCTGGCTGCCTCTCTTATATTATTATGTTTGCTGAAATCTAATTAAAAGCGAAAAAATTCCTGCTTATCCGCCGGCCGTGTTACGCGATTTCTCTCATTCGCTCTTGAAGTGCCAACCCAAGTTTTCCTCTTTTCGTGGAAAGCTCTTTTTTATTTTCCCTCAATTCACTTGAGTGGATGCAACTCGTGCATTTCGTTCCAGCAATGCTGGGTCATCATCCTGCGCCTGGTGGAGGTGCCAGTATTACGACAGTATTCAGAAACTGAAAGAAGCCAGAGAAGGGAAATTAGCATGTGTGAAAATGAATATGTCTTTGATGCAAGCACGTACATATATATTAATTTCGTTTTAGATTCCATAGAATTTTAATTGCCATAGCAAAAATTCATTAATTGGCATTCAAACTGAAAGGCTCAAACGAAAGTCTAGATTGGCTTTCGATTCGCTGTTTAACATTTTCCTTTAACGGCAATCGAGGTGTAATGTGAAAGTTAAATAATGCAAAATAATTTATAATTTCGCAGAAGCTGTAAAAGTAACTCCAATTACTGGAGTTAAGCATGTAATTAATTCCCATATTTCTTAATAATTTCTATATATAAATATAGTCTTGTTAGTGCTTCGGAAAATATAAAAATATAGAGATTAAACTTCCTCGTTGTACCTTTTTTTTTAGAGAGATCTAAAAATATCTCCGATAAGCTGTAAATAAATTGGCTTACAAATCATGGGATTTATGCATTTGTTTCCATCCGAAAATCAAAAGGCAAAAAATTGGAGCATTAATCGTTTCACTACATCCGTATTTTGCGCATTTATTTTCAATCCCATTTCGAGGGTGTCCTTCCCCCCTTTTATTTACCTGAATGTGACAAAGCTGCGATTTACCGCTGGCAGTGGCATCAGCATCCCAAAAGTAGCCTGTAAATTCGGTACTTTGTGGGCTTTCAATGGGGTTCAACAGGACATATCCCTGGCTCCGTTTCCGGCGAATTTATTAGCCTCACAAAAAAAAAATGGAAACTGCCAAAGAGAATGGGATTTAATCCGCTTTTAAACCGGAAAACCTAACGAATCGCAAGAGCACCATTCAATTCGATTTTTGGCTAATTTAAAATAGGGGGAATACTGAGCTTTGCTTTGTTTTTTCCAAATATATTTATATATTTTTTGTGTGTGTGTTTTATGGCAATCTAAGCTAATCAATCATCCAGCCAGCTAACAACAAATGCCAATAAATTCAAGCCGTCAGCATTTTCCATTGAACACAATATTGTTTGTTTTGCATAAATGTTCATTTATGATCTTTGGAGTGAGTTTTTGGAGTGTAATTATGGTGGTTATTCCTCATCAAATCCATTTTTGGCAATTGAGTATTTCCTGCAATTTTACCTTTTTGAATGAAATTCCCTTTTGACTTTGTTTCCCTTTAATTATTTCAAGTCAAAGGCGATAACAAAAGAGAAATATATAAATAGCATCTTTTGGCACTTCAACACAGCCTCCTCTCTTGAGTTTTACTCCAAGCTTCCTTCCCCTTTGGGTATTTTTGCCTCAAAATTTTTGTTGATTGCCATGTGTGGCGATATTTGTGGCCTGGCAAAGATTAATGATGACGCTCACCGTCCTGTCCTTGACGCATGCTGGATGGATGTTTCTTTGGCTTTCCACTGAAGGCTTTTCATCCAGCCAACGGGGTGGCTTCCTCCCAGAAAATTATTAAATAAATTATATAGTCAAGCACAAAAGACCAGGCCTCTCGCGTCATTGTGGGTCTTCGTTTCGCGGAAGGAAAATGAAAGTCCTAAGTGAATTGTCATGTTATCTCTTGTGTTCTCAATGGAATGAACTTGTCTCACAAGTGGTCTGGATCTGGGTCTGGTTTTGGTTCTAAGTTTGGTTCTGGTTAGTCTTGGTCTTTGCCCGCGGTCGTTAGCTTTATTTCTATGTTTGATTTAGCCATAGAGCTGAGGCTGCAGTTTGCTTCAAGCACTTGATATTCTCGGCCAGTACAATCATTTCCTGGCCAAAGTCATGCTTCATAGCAGATAAATCATTATAAATGAGTCCATTTAACACAACGGTTGCCATGGTGAGAGGTCAAGTGTAGAGCAAAAACATACTGTTCCTTTTTTTCTAGGAAACTTGTATATGTTTTTTGTGTGAGAAAAGGTCTGGGTGGATTCTAGGAAAGTATTTTATATCTGTTCGTATTTATTTGTTATGTTTAGTGTTTAATTTTTTTAAATATTAGAGCAAAAAAGACAAATATTTGTATCAACAATTGTTACAGATTTAATGTAAACGGAAAAACCATTACTTCAATACATATTGGGTTTTTATATGTAATTTTTTAATTGATAAAAATACCTTTAGTTTATCATTAAATCGGTGATAGTTAGATACTTCTAAACAAATTGTTCATCCTTGTGATCTCTCTATAAAAATATCTAACTTGATGCTATGAATAGTTGAGTATTTATTTTATGATTTAGGAATACTTATTTATAGTTTAATTAATTTATCTCCCTATGAAAATCTCCTTAAATCTATCTTTAAAGTCTCCTTGTCTCTACCAAGATACCTGCTAGTCAATCAGCCGTGAGAGAAACATTTCTAGTTGCTACACTATATACTCCGCTTCCAAGTGGCAGTGTCACCTCCAGAGACGGGCACTGATTGACTTGGCGAGGAGGAAGCTCAGCCCGAAGGCAGGGATTTGCACTTTCCACGAGGCATCGTGCAAAAGAAGCAGTATCTAGAGCGTGACTGTGGATGTGTTGGCAATTTATGGCCAATAAGAGACACCGTAATGAGGGAGCAGGCGGGACTTCGCATGCTGGTCTTGGTCCTGGTCCTGCTCCTGCTCCTGGTCCCGTGGGGTTCGAAGGCAATCATTGCCGATGCATTCAGCGCACGTACCACGCGGCGTATGAGTAATGCGGCGCGAGTACAAAAAAAAGAGAAAGCTAAAACCAAAAACCAAAAAAAGGAAGCTAAGCATACGAACTTGCCGCAGGCCGTGATTAGGCGAGGATTGGCGGGAAAATCAATCCATTCTGTGAACGCAACGCAACGCTTAGCTCATTAACTGCCTTTGGTTGATTTACGCATTTTCCTGTCGTATTCGATTTCAACTTGAATTCTGAAATTGGTATTAGCGTTAATCGATTCTCATTGGGAGTGGAATATTTTTGCTGCGTTGCGTTTGCCAGATGATTGGTAAAGCCATTCGTTCGAGTTAGGAAATTCGTTTCAAAATTGAAGCAAGTTTAATTGAAAATGATTTTTCGGTTGGTTTTATAGCAGGTAAACTATCGCAAGAAGAACGTTCATTATTGTATCGAAAATATCGTTAAATTGCAGATATCAAGGTTTATTATTTATAAATTAATTAAGCATTTTAAGGTGGAATATTGTTTATGGGGTTTCGAAATACCTGGGAGGTTTACCTCTAATTGCAAACCAAGTAAGCACCGAAAATGTTTTGATATATCAATCCAAATATCTATATCTTGCATATATATGGCTAGGTTATAATATCTACTTTTATATTCTGTGCCTTAAATATCGATAGGAGCATGTTTATAAGCAACAATTGCTACATTAAAGTACCTGGTTCTATATCGTCTTTTTCGGAAAACATAATTGCTGTCCTTAGTTGACTGCACAACATATTTATAGCAACTGTTTCCTAGAAACATTTTATTGTTGCATTCCGCTTTGTTAAATTTATGATTTCACACCCAATAGCTCATAAATTTATTAAATTACAAACGAAATTTTTAATTAAAACTAAGCCCATTCAGTCGCAATGGCAAAACAATAGAATAAATTTCAACCTAAGGCAATTTGTTATTTACAATTTTAAGAATTGTTTACAATATTCAACCAAGTTTTGGCTTGACATGCAATATTTTCAGGAAACCCACATAGCTGCAGGATATTATTGTCCTTAACAAAACCAGGAAATAAAGGAACTGTAAAGCACAAACAACAAACAGTCTTAATTTTAATAAATCTCTTGTCTCATGTAATTTCCTGTGCAGTGCAATTGTGCAAAGCCTTTGCCTCCACTTGTTTTCCACAAAATAATAAAACAAGCAAACAAAAACACCCGCACAGTAGTTACACACGGACACCTCGGTGTATTTGCATTTCGCCAATATTTGCATGGAATACAGGACTAATTTTCCCTTTTGATCCTTTTGGCACTGCGAGGTGCCGGAAAGAAATCTCGTCGCCGTCGGCTAAAGCTTTCACTTTCACTTTCACTTTCGCTTTTCCATTCATTTTCATTCGCAGTATTCCCCTCGCCCCCCACTTTGCTGGCATTTTCACTTTCATTTACATTTACATTTACATTTGAGTTTCGCCGTTTTACCTGGGCATTGTTCTTTGAGTCGTTACCAGGAGTTGATTCCAGTTACAGGACTACTGTCCTTTACTCAGCTCTTGCTTAACGAATCGGCAAACACTTTTAATTAACAAGTGGTGGAAACCAAGACACACTGAATATATATGCTGGGCTGTGCTGTTTTCTACTGTACAAAATAAATATGCACCTTGACATTTTTATGGCTTCCAATATGCCACCAGAGAGACAAAACGAGGCAGAGGCCAAGAAAAATGGCCGTTCAAAAATGCTCTTGGCTTTAGTAAGAAATTAAAAATTGATGCGCTCCTTGGGGGTGTTGGAAAACGGCAGAGAAAATCGTAAAACTAAATTTTACGGCAGGTGAATGATGGCTATATAAAAAGGGGATCCACACAATCTTCTCTCCCCTTGCTCAGGGGATCTCTGGCAAAACCCGACAACCACTTAAGGTCATAAAAGAATGAATTTGAATTTATATTGAATCCATATTAAGTAACAACAAACTACATTGTGTGTGTTCATCAAAAATTTATACCCATTGAGAACTAATAATCTTAATATTTGGCAGACAAACTTTACTTGATTAAATTAAAGTTCGGGCTTTAACTTTATTTACTTCAGTTTAGTGGAAACTCTGCGTTGAAGCTGTTCTTGATCCAGGCTTTTGTGGAAATTCTGCAAGCATAATGGAAAAGCATTTATCGTTCGATTAGCATTTTGGCCCAGTTTATATGCACTTGGCCTTTGGCTACCAGCTTTCAGACTCGAATTGCTTTTACATTGCATTGCAATTAAAGTGCGATTTGCTTTCACAAGTTTTTGAACAAGTTTCCGTTTACTTTCATCAACGGAAAAGGAAAATTGGCCAAAGATAAATACCAGGAAAAGTTTGTGCCTTTGGCGTGAAGAATATTGCAATCTAGAACATTTAGTGAAAACAGTTTTAAACGATTAAAACGTCTTACTTATTGAACAATAAACTTATCTTGGAAAATGTTAGGAAAATAATATCAAATTTAACAGAAATATTTTTCTTAAATTTAATCTTTCTATTTAAACCATTAATATGCAAATTTCTTTATAAAAAGGATATGAAAAAGTAAAAGATAAAGACCTTTAAACTTGTATATTGTTCTTTGTTTAACCAGCAAAAAAGGTCGGAGTTCCTTTTACTTTAATTAGGAATATTTTTTGGCATGTCGTCTGGTGTCGTATCTTTTTTTTTTGGTGCTTGGGTCCAAAAGGAAAATTTAGAGACCTTTTCCCCACCATCACTCTGAATAAGTACTGGCATCCGGTTCGCGTTTTCACTGGTCACTGGGTTTGCCATGCTTTTTCTCTGGCTTGGTTTTCCCCCAATGTCAACCGCTTTTCATTAACAGAAAACGCGGTAACAACGGATGCTGATTTGTTTGCCTCCCAGTGTCCGAGTGCTTCGTTTATAGGAAAAGTTCTTCCAAAGAGGCAGCAACAAAACAGTAATTAGTGTTCCGACTCCGGCTCCCAGTTCCCAGTTCTCAGCTTCCCAGCTTCCCAGCTCCAGCTGGAAAACTGCATTGGCATACAATGCCGCCTGCTGTGGATCGGATTTAATTCCGGAGTGAAGGAGAAAGTTGAGTGGTCGCTTTAATCCCTTTCAATCTCTGCCGTTGACATCTGTTTGTGTCGGGGTTGAGCCGAGTTTATCTGGTGTTTTACCAAGCCAGCAGGGACGTAGATGGAGCCACTGACAGATCCGGAGACGGAGCCGGAGCCAGAGCCAGATTCCGGGGAAAAGTGTATGTAAAAGCGCAGCACAATGTGTTTACTTTGCATTTTGCCGAGTGTCAGAGCTCTGCTCTAATCAGCAAGGCTTCAAATTTAATTGGGAACATTAAACCGAACTCACCAACAGCCTTCCTTTCCAGTTTGTTTACAGTTTGTGTAAAATAATATATATACATATATAGAAAAACATCTGGAGCGTGTGAATCCCAGTAAATGCAGCTGTCAAGTGCAGCAGCAGGAGCATCAATGGAAGCCACAGATGCCCTGATGGCATTCTGTTCGGGACTTAACCCAAACTTTAACCAAGCGCCAACCAAGTTTAGTTAAGCTCTCGGAGTAAGGTTTTTCTTCGCATTTTCCATTCGCGTTTGTTTTCTATATATTTTTTCATCCTGTATTTTGTGCTTTTGCAGTTGCAAAGTTTCAGTCACAACCTCTTTGCAGTTAAGTCGCTTGACTTGAGGGCTTTTCGTTGGCAAATTTATCCGTAAACCTCAGGAAAATTGCTGGAAAATTGGTTCTTTGTGGAGCATTGAAATGCAAAATGATAAATACATTACTTCTCGGCAAGGTTAAGAAGTAATGGGAATTTGCTATAATTCATTTAGTTTTAAATTATGTTGGGAGTATAATTTTGGGAAGGTTTTGAGGTTGAATTGTGGAAATAAATTTGTGCATTGTGGGTAATATTTATTGCTAAGGAATGGGGTTTAATTTAATAAGAGTATTCCATGTTTTTCTACTTTAATTTAAGAGATTTAGCTAACTTGAGGTCTAAACGGGGAAGTTCAGTAAGGATTAAGATACAACTGTTGCTCTTCTTCAAATTTATAAACTAAATTAGATTGGTTTAAAGAACTGTTTATATTTATGTTAATTAAGGTTCTGGTGTGAATAATCTTTTAAAGTTCCTGTTTCCTGTTCTCCCTGATTTATCTTCACTTATTTAAAGTCTTCCCAGAGATTAAATTTGTGTTCTGCTTGTGAACCTCTTCGCTCAAAATGTATAATTTTTATAAGGTACTTAGACATCTGCCTATGACATTTATTAGCTTACAACAAATTAAATTTTCAAGGTTTCCTTACTCGGAGCACATAAAATCGTATTTGTCATATGAAATTTTTCTTCCCTGCATTATTAATGAAAGATGAAAAAAATGTACTTGACTCACCTGTCACTTGAGTGTTGCCCGCCTCCCGCTGGGCGGAGGAGACTCGCCGGAAAATGCTCAATACGGCCTTGCTGGAAATGCAGGAAAAACAGCGACAGAAAGAGACAGTAAAAGTATATTTAAATGCTCATAAAAGCCAGTCACATATAAGGATACGTTATTGGGAGTAATTTGTGGCGGATTACTTACCGGAAATTCTGTCCGCTGACGCAGTAAAGCACGAAATTGATGCCAAAATTTGTGATGAAGAAAGCGTGAAAAATATATTGCAGGGCAATTGTGGAATTTTCATTCTTGGCCGATTCCGTCTGTCAAAAGATAGGGGAGAAAAAGAAAAGGGGAAATCGCTTTATTATGCTGCTTGCTTGACTCGTGTGCCAATTAGGAATTTCCATGTTTGTTGTCCCGAGTTATTCCGGGGAATCACACAGCTTTTGTCATTTGAGCTCTCATAATAAGGATTTCGATACTACTGATTTGAAATTTTGCATAATAATTCCCTAATAGGTAAAGATTTCTTTGAACCATTAGTGACCTCTCTCAGTCTCTTTATAAACTCATGTGTAATGGGCACGTGGCCTTGATGACCCCTGACCAGGACCTGTTGAACTCGTCGGAAAACAATCTCCGGTCCTTGTTCGTCCTTCTGTCTGTCTATCTGTCTGCCGTCGAGCCTTTTCCACTCAATTAGTTTTGTGTCGCAATCAATGTCTGAGTTTGCCGCATTTTTAAGTTGGCATGTGAACTAGTGTGTAAAAAGCAATTTCAATTTCCTAAACATAAAAAATGGGAGAATGTGTGAAATTGCAAAGCAGTTAAAAAATTACAATATTTGTGGTTCAAATATAGATGTTTTTTTTAATGAAGTATCTTATATTTATATTCAAGTGAAAGCTTTGCAAGGATCATAATTTGTATTTTGTATCTTGTGTTGTCCTATTTTAATTACCTTGAAATATGCCCAATTTCGAACATGACTTCCATTATTTATTTTCTATTATACCAATATATATATATTGTTTTTAGGAAGAGAAAAACTGTATGCTTGTTATTCTCTCGGCGAAATCTATTAATTTAAGCAAATGTCTGCGCTGTCGATGTGTTTTGTATACGAAAAATGTGTCAATGCTTTGACAGCCAGATGGTGTGTATATGGAATTCACAGAATTTAAAATGGTTTATTTGTTGGGAATTTGTTTAGATTTTTTTTTAAGAAAGAAAAAAAGAAGAAAAAGGGCAAAGCACAAAGAAAATGAAAGCGAAAATTGGAAAATGAAAGTGACATTGACTTTTCCACAATAAAAAACCGGCTCAGCTAGATTTATATCAGAAACTTTTCTCACTTCATTAAAACGTATGTATAGTATATGTGGTTTAAGTAAATACTTGTTAGTAGCTCAACTAACTGGCATTTAATTAGATAAAATATGGTAGAATTATTGCTAATTTGTTTCTGTCAATTCTCTTAATGATTGAACTCACATAAAATGACATGGCATATGTATGTTTGTGCAGCCCCTGAGACATTAGTTAAACACGAAAGAGATTTTATTTTTACGATTTGCCTGCGAAGTGCACAAACTAATTAAAGCCTAATTAACACCTATGTATATGCTAGTCAGCATGGCAACCGGCAGAGTTCTCCTCCTCAGTTGCGAGTCTAAGGACATTAAAATGCCTTTTGCCTTCTGCCTTTTGATGTATGTAATTCCTGGATTAAACACGACAACGGCCCAGTTAACTGAGCGAAGGAGTCGGAAGGATAGGATGTGTGTAGAGCGAGGGGCTACCAGGACATAAAGGACACTGCTCAAAGTAGTTGTGTGCGTGTGTATGTTGTCATGACTCCTTCTGGCCAGTTGGGTTATGAGTTTGGTCCAGGAATCGAGCTCAAACTCCTGAATTTGTGGCCAGATAATTAGAAGTCGACAGCTGACGTACAAGTTATAAAGCCCACTTGTTCCTTATTGTTTTGGGAATTCGGCACTGAGAGGAAATCATCAGGAAATCATAAGCAAACTTGATATAATTATACTTTCTTGAAATTTTATTAAGTTTTACCGCCTTTTTAGCTGACAACTAATCATCTTTGATAACAATTTGATTTAAATTTTCAATAGTAAAATCTTCTGTAATTATTTTCTTCCTGTGCACAAACCCCACAATATTTTCGAGAGGACAAACAACTAACTACAGCTAATCCAATTATTTGGGTCAAGCCAAGACTAAAGTTTCATCATTGTCCTGGCATAACAATGACCTTATCCTTCAGATTGCCACAATATAATGGCAAGTGCTTTTCGGCTTGACTGATTGACTGAATGGAACCGAAAACTACATAATGCAAGTATCATGTTTGCATCACTTACCTCCCAATAGGCCTCGATTCTCAGCAGGCAACTGGGCAAATTGAGGCAGACAAAAACCGTTGAGACAATTAGCAGCATCTTGGTTACCTTCAGCTGCGATGAGTTCTGTACCTTGCGACGACCTATGGGGAGGAAAAATAAACATAAAGATAAACATTCGAGGGTGAGGATTAACAGGAGACAGCCTTCACACTGCCGCAGACTTCTTAATTAGTTGGAAAATTATGCGATAGTTGTTGGCAAATTGTTTGACAATTTGTCAGTGTCGCAAAACTTGTTCATGGCACAAAAAGATTTTCGCAGCTGTCGTGAAGTTCTGCGCGTACTGATATTTTTCCTGCTACTTTTCAGCATCTTTTGTTTTGTCATTTTTAATGTCAGACACTGCTGCTGGAAAATGGCTGCAAACAAATTCAACAAATTTCCCACGGAAAACTTAAATGGCTTAAGCAAAAGTTTTAGCCTTTTAGCCTGCACCAACTTTCTGGTAAATGTCAACTGTACTAGGAATTCCGTTGTGAATCCCTTATTTCAGTTTCCATTTCCCATTTTCCATTTTCCAACTGAAAAGTCAGTGGTCGCTCTGTCCTCACCTGGCTTCTGTGTAATTTCGCAATGGTGTTGACAATTGTTTATGTGATGCTGATGCTGATGCTGAGGATGCTGCTGCTGTTGCTGCTGGTGCTGCTGATCCTGCTCCTCCTGCTGCTGCCTGATGGCCACGTTGTGCTGTCCACTCGGATGCGTTCCTGTTGACTTTTGGCGCTTCAGCGAGGCTGTGGTGCGGTAGGAAGTCACTGCGGACAATCCACCGGATGAGTTCGATGAGTTCGAGGGCATGCTATTCGTTTGGGGTTTCCTGGATAAGAAAATAAAGAAGATTACTTCTTGTCAGGTTTCATAGAGGTTTTAGTGACTGTAATTTGAAGAATAATTGCTATGTTTCCCAGTTTTGGTTGGGGTTTCTTGAACAAGAAGATGCAGGAGTTTATAGAGTTTTAAAAAGTTATTAGAGTCTGAAAAGGCTTTTCTTCTACCTTATTTATATATATTTACTTTAAAGAATATATAGAAATTTCATTAAGATTCCCCCTGAATTTATTTCTTGATGTTAAACCTGACTTGTGTTCAGAATTTCTAATTTAAGCCCCGCTCCTAGTCTCTTGATGTACATTTCTCAAGGTCGAGTGTGTGGCAAATGCAAATCGCCTTAGGGCCCACTCTACACTCACTACACTCATATCAAGGGTCAATGAGGCAAATACTCATTATCCGTTGTTCGGTGGCATTAATCCGAAAAAAACTCAATCCCATATCCCAACCCATATATATATATATACTCACATCTTGTGCATGGTCAGCGTTCGGCGAACGGTGGCGAATTTCCACACAGTACAACCTGTACAGGTGTTGAGCACCGCGATGGTGGTGAAGGGCACCGCATAGACGACAATCGAGTCCCAGTAGTTGAAGAGGGCGAGTTGTTCCTGTAATGAAAGAGCAATTTTTTCCCCCTTCTTTATTATCATGGTGGGTTTGCAATTCGATTTGTTTTTGTGGTGGTGGCCAATGTGGCGTATACGCCATTACTGGTGTGTACACGCTGCGTATACGTAATATGGTTTTGCAGCGTCAACTGGCTTTAATCTAGTTTTGGACTCAATTGAATTTGGCTGCGTTTTTAACTGTGCGAGCGAGTCTTTTTTCCTAAAATTAATTAAATTGCTAAACAAAATGGGGGAGAGTAGAGTAGAGAGTTGTCTTAATCCATTTTCGCCCCTCAACTGTCACCTAGTAGTTGCCGGTTCACTGGGGAAATTAGCGCTCGACTTGACTTATTTTCCCTTCAACCCAAGACGGAAGTTAAAGTCAAGTGCAGGCTTAAAGCAGCATCGCATCTCATCTAGTTTACTTTACCTGCGAAGGACTTTTGCATGCGGAAAAGTGAGAGAAAGGAAGATGGGTATTAATTTGCATAATCTACTTGGCGAGGCAATTTAATGGAATTATTTCAGGCAGAACCGATAAGTTTATGGGGCTTTCTCTCTCAAGAGAGAGAGATGGGGGAAGACCTGACCTGACCTTCTGGCCTGTTTCTTTAATCTCAACATATTCCTTGGCATTTGGCTGGTGGAAACCCTTCTCCCCCAGGGGTCTCTGTGATGGGGGAAAACTATTTTCACAGCATCTTGCGCATTTGTTTTCAGCTTTCACTTCGGTCTAAGAGCTCCTTCGGGCAGATAAATTCCTGGATGGTTGCCTACATATTTTCATGTCCGAAATGTTGAATCTGAAAATGCTCCATGGGCACTCGAATTAATCTCAACGAGAGAACAGATGTGGGAGGGCCATTTGATCTCATTTTTTTTGGGGGGAAAAACACACACAATAACATTTGTTTCAATCACAATTAACACCCAAAAATAGCTAAACATAAGCGCATTATCATCCATTAGGGAAAGCCTGGACTGGCCAGAGAGTTCAGGCATTTAATGGGGACTGTAACACTTTAAAGGACAAGAGTGATGTAATTCCCAGTTTAAATACATAGATATGCAATCATCATCAGTGCGGGTTTTGTCCGTAATTTTCAACGGCTGCTCTCTCGTCTCAATTTACATAATTCCAAGTGTTCATCAAAATATATGCGGCGGCAACCATTGAAATTATGTTAATCACAAGCCCCGACAAAATCTGAATTGTTCAACAAGTAATTTAATGCCCAGACTACACAGCCTAAAAAATACTTTGATAAAAAAGCGAATTGGGCATGTATTTGGGTTAAATTTAAATACATTTTCGCCATTGGCAAAATAATTTCAATGAGGAAAAGCGAATTGGGTTTTATGATTATATTTTCCTGTGTCCCTTGTCCTTAGTCCCGGGTTGAAAACGCCAAAAGGGATGACCTTCCTCCCATGGAAAGGTGTAGAGTTGTCCCAATTTAATTGTTATATATTTTATACTATATATATGTATATATATGGGGAACATCCCTCCTAATCTATTGATGGGGCCTTTTTTCTGGACAGTAAACACCTCGGGAGTGCGTCCCCCAATGGCCTGTCATAAACGTAAAAGCCGTCCTGCTGCTTGACCAAAAACCATTCAATTTATTTGCTTTTCTATTTACTTTCTTTTTTTATGGTCATGCCCGTCCCAGAAATACAAAAAGAGAGAGTTTTTTGCGGTGTTGTCTGTTTCGAGTGGATCAAAATGTAATAGCTCGTAAATTTTCAATCAACTGGCTGACGATTGTTGTTATATACATACAATATAGGGAATGGTTATGAAAGTGTATAACTAATGCCTAAAGTTGAAATTTAATTTATATTGCCTTTTGTGGTCGTTTTTCCTTTAAGAATCTTTGAAGAATTTTCCTATTATGCAGCCCAGTTTTCACAGCAATTTCATCTTCAAGGTTAAAGGATTCATAGCTTTTCTAAAGGATAGAAATTTGTAGAACAATTTAAGAAGAGGAACTCGGAAATCTGTACAAATGTTGCCTTTTTTGTGAGCCTCAAATTGTTATTCCCCTGAGAGACTTTGGATAAAAGCTGAAACCAGTTTTAATATATTAAAAGTTGAACATATTCAATTCGAAATCAAAGGAAATGTTGCATATTTAAAGTTTAGCCCATATCATATTCAGATCGAAGGCAAAGCAAAGCAACTTTTGTGGGTGTTGTTACCCCAGCCCCTGGGCCATTTTTCCGGTGAAATCTGTTTCCAATGCTCATGTGTTGTAGCCTGGTATTTGCACTTAACTATTTCTTGGACACTTCCTGTGGCCTCAGCTTAGTCCTTTTCAATTTGTCCTCCCAACTGCTACCCGGTCACATCAAAGGAGCCCCATCTCACATATATTGATGACCAAACGAGCAAGATTATGACTGCTGGCCATATTGCTCGACTTAATTAGATATCCAGAGAATGAAGAGACTGAGTGGCAGAGAGAAGCTTTTAATAGAATTTCACTTGCAAAGCGTTTTGTTGCTTAAACGATGCCCCCAAAAATTTGACTAGACTTTCATGGGGTTTCATTTCCACCGAATGCAGACATTTTTGAGCAGGCAATATTTTTGACTGGAGCCAGCCGTAATTGTCTATTCATTAGAAGCCCATCCGGGCAAAAACAGACTCTCCTCCTGCCAGTGAAAGCCGTCTCCTTGCAGAGCTTCCCAAGGAGCATCTGGTTGCGTCTTCAGCTGCTGGTCTGGGCTCCTTCTTCCCAGGATGGCTATTACCCAATGATTTGTTTCTTTCAATATGCCAACCGCCAAGTGCAAAGTGTCTATTTAGAGCACACACAAAGAGAGCCAGAGGAGTCTGTTTCAAAATTTATGTTGTCTTCCCCCGCGAAAACGAGGGTAGCACGTTGCACCTTCTGTTCCTCTGTCTGTGTCTTTTCCTGCTTCTATTTCCAAGCCATTCACCCATTTCCCAACCCATAGATTGCCATTTAGATGTCCTCCTCCAGTTTGCCATCATAAAGCTTGCATAATTCCTCGGCCGCTTCACTAGTGCCATCTGTTGACTGGCATCCTCGTGGCGGTTGTGCCATCAGTCAAACGCAATTTTTGTCAAACAAAACTGTTGGCAATTTCAAGTACAGAGAAAAAAAAGTGAAAATATTAAAAAAATAGTTCAAAATATATTCAAAAAGAGAACTGAAAATAATTAAACTATTGAAGAAGGTTTACTATTTTCAGTCACTATAAGCTAAAGAAGATAAGTATCATTTTTTGAGTTATTTCAATTATGGATTTATATTGATAGGAAAAATCTAATATGATACATTTTACGATTCAAAGATGTCGGAAAATATCACTGTATATATAAATAAATAAATTAATAGTTCGTAAATTTATATATAAAAAGTTGTAGTTTCGAAAACTATTTCTATTCTTTAAGTTTATATCCTTTTTTATCAACTATATGTGGAATATATTTGAAACTACATTTTTAATAACTATATTCATTTCCAACAATCATAGCCTCAAACTAACTCTCTCTCTTCAGTCCGATATATCAAATAGAATATCGATTTATGGCACATTGCTACAATAAAATATCGATAATCGGGATTCGCGATTAATATTGATACTGTATCGATATTCATGAAATTTCCTTTCATCTCTAAATGGAATATTCTTTACCCTTTGTAAATATTTCTATTCAATTCCACAATTTTTCTCGCAGTGCCCTCGCTGATTGAATGCGAATTTTTCCATCTGAATTTCGTTAGCTGCCTGCGCCCGTTCAACTCATCCATCATACCCTCAATCGAATCAGCGAAATACACGTAGGCGCGACACTTTACGCTTCATTGGGGCCAATTTGGCTAATAGGCCGGCTACCTGGCATCCACCTGTCTTGGCCCAACCTATAGTACACACCTGTCGCGGTCGTCGTGCGCCATTTCAGGTCTGTTTCTGTTTGCATTGCATTGCTCCTTCTACGGACAGTGCAAAATTAGCATTGAATTTCGGGCCTAAAAAGCGTCTAGGTAAACAGGTGAAAAGCGAGTGAAATATGAGATTTATCGGGAGCGGAGACGACTGGGAATCATCATCCTTGAGACAACCAAAAGGACCAGGAGCAAAACCAGGACCAGTACCAGGACACACCCAGTCAGGCACACGTGTCCGCTTGGCATTTCGTTCGTTCGTTCGGTGCTTTGTCTTGTCCTGTGTCCTACCCGCAGTGTATGTCGTCGTCCTGTCATGTCCTGTTTGTGCTGCGGGTCCAGGGAAAATATTTGCCTTGCCTTCCGAGGCGAGTGAGTCCCTGGCAATGTCCCTTTTGCTTTTTTAGTCATTTCTGTGTACAGAGCATTCGAAGAAGATACACGAATTCTGCCTTGACTTTTGCAACGCAATTTAAGGTTTATAGATTTGGGTCTTAGAAGGAAATATGATCAGGGAAATTACTTTAATTATGAAATTACTTTAATTTTAGTTATCTTAATTCTATGAATTTTCGGTTAACTTTATCATTGGGTCAATATAAAGTAAATAAAATAAACCCAAAACATAGTTAGAACTCAGAAATGGATCATAAAAGCAGTCATAACACTATGTTTTTACTGACATTTATGTTCCTGTTTAATGGGGTTGCATATTTGTCTCTAGCCAAGAGATATGTTTGGTAAAATATTCCCTGTAATCAGTCAAAGAAAAGAGCATTAAATGTTTCGTCTTTAATTCCTGTAACATGTTCTCTTCGCTTTTTTTTATCTGGTTAACCATTTGACCATTTTTGGCTTTGGGGCTTTGTTGTATCTTTTTGTGGTTTTTACTTTTTTCTCTGACTCTTTTTCTTGGCCAATTTGTGGCTGGTCCTTTTTTCCTGCGCAATAAATGCTTAATTTGGTCGCTTAACCCACACAGCGGTATATAGTCGAGACCTAATTAATTGACTAATTGCTCTAGTTCTCGACAAATTAGCAGCTCCTTCATCTTTGCGGTTGGCCGCTCCGTGATCCGCATATCTCGGCGGTATTTATTGCGCCTAATTTGCAGGAGTGTCAATGCCATTTCAAGCGGAAGTGACGAAGGATTCTTTGGGGGCAAACTCAAGTGACTCCGACTTGGGACTGACAACTGGATGTTTGGGGAACAGCTGTAAGTGAATGCCGGTGACAGATTCTTCTCCCGTTCTTTCTTCGACTTTTACGCACAAAAACAAAAAAAAGCGTTGAATATTATATATTTATGAGATATTTGTCAACAATTTTGTTGGCCATTTGCCAAGGCAAACAACATACATACATACAACGAGTGCCATTCAAATTCCAATAACAATACTAATGGCAGACGAAAAATTCACAAATACCAGAACCTCCTACGTATGGTTTACCTTTTTCAAAAAACCCACAAAGCGAGAGTGTTTAGAGAGCGGGAAATATGAAAGAATATCGTTGTCACTGGCAATTCAAATGAAGAATTCGAGGCATCTTCTGGAATGCTGCGTTTGATGAAGCTTAGATTTTGATATGTGACAAAGGAGGCAAACACTAGCTCTTACTATATATTGTTTAAAGAATATTATTTAAAATATAAAGAGGATATTTCCTTGCAGCAACAAATATAAATGTTCATTTCTAGATTCTCTCTTAAGTTCTTTGTTGTTTTCATTTTACTTAAGAGAGCTTTCAGGTTATTTCCCCATTGTCTGTTATTATTTATAAATTCACTTTGAAGCAATATGCTAATGGGTTTGTTGGCTCGCAAATTATTTCATTGAAAACATTTTAATTCACAATTAGCTTTCAATTCGTTAACGTTTTGATTCTTTTTTTTTCACAGAATAATTTAAAGGTTTCCTCTGACCGAATTTTTGGGACGAGGCAAGATACAAATCGAGAGCTTTTTAAAGTCAATTTGTGAAATAATTGAATCATTGAAAGCTGGGATATTGTGAAATTAAAAATTGTACTATTTTAACATACTTCTTAAAGCTTTTCAGTACCTTTTACTTAAATTATATGATGTTAAATAATATTATAGAACGTAGCAACATATAAACTTGGGAATTAGGAATGAACCCATCGATTTTTACTATTAAGTCCCAAGTTCTTATTTAGATAATTTTTTATACCCTTGCAGGGTATTATAATTTCAGTCAGAAGTTTGCAACGCGGTGAAGGAGGCACCTCCGACTATATAAAGTATATATATTCTTGATCAGGATCAACAGCCGAGTCGATCTAGCCATGTCCGTCTGACCGTCTGTCCGTCTGTCCTTCTGTCCGTCTGTCCGTCTGTCCGTTTCTACGCAAACTAGTCTCTCAGTGTTGAAGCTATCTGAATGAAACTTTGTAGTTAGCCTTCTATATACTCTCACTTGTATATATGTCGGAACGGGCGGGATCGGACGACTATATCATATAGCTGCCATAGGAATGATCGGAAAATTTTTACAAAAATTTTTTTAACTTTTTCAGTTTTCAATAGAATTGGATCAAATTTGAGATATAGCCATTCTACTATATTCTACAATTTTGCATAAAATTTTATGAAAATCGGACTACTATATCATATAGCTCCCATAGGAACGATCGAGAAATTAATACAATTAAATTTATAACTTTTTCAGTTTTCAGCTGCTTTTCATCAAATTTAAGGTATGGCCATTTTATATTAGTCTTAAATTTTGTGTCAAATTTCATGAAAATCGGAAGACTATATCATATAGGTTCCATATAAACGATCGTTTGATGTAGAGGAAAAATGCAAATCTGTGAATGTAAAATTGCAAATATAATATGTATAGGTGAATGAAATGAAAGCAGGTATTACTTCATTGTTTTTTAACACAAATATATATAATTTATATTGTATTTATATTCATAGAAGTTCTATCTGCAAGAGTATATAAACTTCGGCGTGCCGAAGTTAGCTTCCTTTCTTGTTTCAATATTATTTTGTTTAATTTGTATTATTTGCAAAAGTAATCATTGCATTTTCTGGATTCTTACCTTGTACTCCGAATTAAGATCGCAAATTGTGGTATTTAGCTTTGGCATAAAGACCGGCTTGGCGATCACAATGTAGGGCAAACAGTGGAGACATCCAACGAGGGTCAATCCAGAGAGAACGATCTTGGCCCGGCGCACTGTGCACATGGTCTGGCGCTTCAAGGGATAAATTACAGCGATGAAGCGCTCCACGGTGAAGGCCACCACAAACCATACGGAACAGAAGCTGGCCAGGTAGCTGAAGAAGGTGAAAAACTGGCAGAAGTAGTTCCTGTTGTAGATGTCCACATTGAGGAAGTTCAGCCACTGGGCAAAGAGGCCGGCCAGGAAGCAGGTGTCGCTGACGGCGAGGGCCGCCAGGTAAAAGCTGGACGAGAGTTTCCTCAACTTGGTTTTGAAGAAGACAAAGACGGAGAGAATGTTGCCAATGCTGCCGGTGCAACAAAGGATTGGGATATAGTACTGATGCACAAAGTCACCGATGAAGAAGGCTATCCTTAGCATCTCCTCGTCCTCGGAGGATGCCTCCTCCAGATCCATTTCGGTGACAAAGCCATTGGAGGTGGAGTTGCCATCCGTGGCATTGAAATCCAGCTGGGATGTTGTAAAGAATGTGGCTGCTGGTGTTGTGGTGCCTGTTTGATTTGAGTTGGAGCCACTACTGTCTGCTATATAATCCATATCTGCAACCGTGGTCATAGTTGATTTGATTCGAATATTCCGCTCTGAATTAAAATTGGATTCACTTTTCCATTGCTAAACCAATTGGGATGCAGTGGCCACAAATGGATTGCATGCGAAGGCAAATGTTTGCTTCGCGTTCACCAAAAAAAGTGGGAACTTTCTGTTTCAAGTTTTAGCGCGATGAAAAACTATTTCACTCACTTTTATTGGCGCTGTTTTTTATTATTTCTTTTTGGCACATTTGAGTGCCGCCTGTCAAGTCAACAATCCAAATTTTCGATTGGTTTTTTTTGCGTTATTTCCTTTTTTTGTTCCCACAAATTTCGCTTTTCGCCCAACTGGATCTTAATTAAGATTTTTATTTTCAACTTTTGTCTGTGAAAAGTTTCGCTTTGGAAAAACTTATGAACACTCTTAGTCCTCACCTAGGTGTCTTGAGTTCATTATCGTCCAAATATATTTTATCGCGTAACGATGTAAACAAAGAACAAGTAAAAAGGCCAGGTAAAAATTGTGAAAAACTTTTGCCACCACACACACAAAAAGTTCTTGTTGGAAACTTCTAAGGTTCCTCTTGTTTTCACAAAAGATTTCGCACCAAGCCGATTTGTTTGCGGCTAAGTATTATTTTTAAGTTCCTTTATTTTTATACGGAAAGCCAAGTGAAAACTTTGGGGGCCATATTTCCTCAATTAATTACTTGATTCGCGGAATCGAAGAGTGTTTTGTTTGTTGTTTAACCGCCGAGGTGCTAGCTGCAATTGATTATGAGAGGAAAGAACTATCCCGCCGGTATTTTTGATCGAATCGAATGGTGGCGATGGACTCTGCCTGGTTTTGGCCAGTTCTTTTTGGACCAACCAACCAGCAGGACAATGAGCGCGCAACTAAGCCGAGACAATGGCGGCGGCGGCCTTTTAAACCAAACGGTTGCTTCCTCTATTGACTCCTGGAAGGCGCCGAGGGAGAGCTTTGGCGCTGGGAACGGACTGCGCAGGCGCCCGATTCATTCATGAAATCAACAGGTGACCCAAGGTCAGGGTCTGGCAGGGTGGATGGCAACCGCCACAAGTGGTTCCCCGTTGAGGGATTAGCCCAGGAGGAGGAGGAGGAGGAGGGGGAGTAGGACAATGGTGCCACTAAACGGCAATTGGCGCCAAGAACTCCACGTTTTGTGGCTCCAGATCCCATTGTCGCGGGGCGGCAATCAAAACAATAACAAACCGCAATGCCGGCGAATGCTTTTCCAGAAAAGCTTTGGAAGAGCTAAAGACCATGTGGGGAACATAACAGGCTTGGGCATCCCAGTTGCCTCTGGGACTTGCCCAAGAATGGACATGACCACGTCGAGTTGGGTTATTTGCCAATTGCGTAAATTTTTACGATCCATCTAAGTTACGTTTATTTCTTCTATTTTTTTGCAGAGGACGACAAGGTGGGCACTCTGGATGTCCTGCTGAGCAGTGCCTATTGCCGCTCCCAGCGGTTCCTCTCCAAGCAATTGGCGCAGCTCCGACCCGAGCTAACCATGTCCATCTTTTCGGGTGAGTAAACAAGGAGATATAATCTTAAATCCTAAGTGCAAGTAAAGATAAATCGAAAGCTGGAAAGCAGTTTGCAATAAATTATTGAGTATTTGGGGGTTTCCTTTGCAAAAATTAAATGGTTTACAAATTTACTAAAAGAAAAATTCAACATTTATAATCAATAACGTTTAAATCTTTTATTAACCCATTAAAAATACTTAAAAGTTTTCAGAAATGATTACATTTCTTTACAAATTAGGTTTTTTGTTATTCAATTCACTTTATTTAATTACAAAGGCCTTTTCAATGAAACCAAAAGTATATGAATACTCCAAAATATAATTGAAACTGTAAGTTGAATTCATTATAATTCTGTTCCCTTTAATTTCTTTGTTAATAAATTAAATTTATCATTCAAAGAAGACCTTTTATTTTACCCACAAATGTTTGAATATGAAAATATATAATTCAGACTTTTATTGAACTGAATAGTTTGCAGTTTTTAATTAAAATTCTCGTAAAATCTTTGTTCACAGAAATTACGCATCGCTTCCAGAGTGCTAGGGAGGATGTACGGGCCTTGTTGCTGCAGTGCCTCCTACCCTGGCTCCAGAATATGGAACTGGTGGCCACAAGTGTGCCGCCGGCCACGCCCCTATCCTACATAATGGTGAGTGTACATTAGCTTCCGGATTTGAAACCTTCGTTTACGCTTTTTCTCCTTTCCCTTTCCGGCAGTATTTCCCGGACTCGGGAACACGGGGACGACGGGAGGGTACTGGTTCCACGGAAGCAACGGAAATGATTCTGAACAATCTGTTCTACATCACAGCCAAGGTAATGGAGGATTCCCCATTCTCTCTGAAGTCGCTTTAATCCTTAATCCTTAACTGTTTTACCGTACACTGCAGTTCTCGGACGCCCATCCACGCGACATCGAGGAGCTATGGGGCACGCTGTGCCAATTCTGGCCCAACAACTTGAAGGTCATCCTGCGGTATCTGGTCATTATGAGCGGCATGGCGCCCACCGAGTTGCTGCCATACGTAAGTCTTGAGATTGATTGGATATCCAACGCAGAGTGGCAATAACGATTTTTGGCAATCTCCCTTAATCCAGGCTAAGCGCGTAGCACTCTATCTGGCCCGCAGCTGTCCGGATCGGTTGCTGGATGAGCTCATGGCCGAGCTGCAGACGGTGGAGACACTCAATTGTCTGATTGAGAGGACAGAGACGCCGCCGTTTTATCGATTGACCAGCATGCGGAAGGCCTCCAGTCACAGTGCCGATGGTGGGTCAAGATAAGCACAGCCAAAGTCACAGAGTAATATTGAATTTTTGTATATTTTGTCAATAGGTCAAGCTGTGGGTGGCATTAATGACTCCAGAATTCAGGATTTAGCCGTGGAAAAGGGAACCATACACACCAAGCGACACAGCGGCGAGGATCCCATTAAAATCGGGTAAGTTCTCATAATATTTATATTATTATTATATTTATTAATGTATATATATTCAAACTAGGACCTGTAAATCAGACAGCGGCATTCGCGCATATACTCAAGCAGCTGCTGCTGCCGCCGCTGCTGCAGTCACTCCCGGATCAAGTGGCAGCCGTCCTCCTCGCGGGGCAGACAAGATTCGTGCTGCCTCAGGTCCCTCCATATTGCCGCGACCGGAGGATATTCTAATCAATGATCCGGAGCTACGGCAGGAGGAGAATGTGGAGCTGCGCGGTGCTTCAGATGCCCCGCCCAATGCCCATCCGCATCCATTGCCCATGCCCGAATATGGCGGCTACTTTGCACCGCTCACTGAATTCCTGCCAGATGTTAGTTTGCCCATCAGCGGATTCCACAGGTGAGTTTTGATTCGAAGTTCTTGTGAGAGTGTTGAAGAGGGTAAATTTAAGATTTCATCCTGGTTCAATCTATATATTTGTTATGGAGAAAGACTTGTATTCTTCTGTAGTCCTTGAAGTTTAACCAATTCAAAATAAGCACACAAAATAGTGCAGTTTATCGAATGATTTTATTAATGAAATAGTTTAGACCCTGCAGAAGGTTTCCTTTGCATAGCCAAGAACTATTCTCAAAGAATTTAGTAGGAGATGCCAGTGTGGTCGCGGATCCATCCCAGGTAGTCGGTGACACGGGTGTAACCAGAGGGACCGTTGTGGCAGCTCACGGAGGCGAAGGTGATCACTCCAACCAGACGGGCATTGTCGTGTGTAACCAGGGGGCCACCGGAGTCTCCTCCGCAGACAGAGCGACCGTCGCTATGGCGGGTGCACATATCAGTGCTGGCCACGGATCCGTAGGACCTCTCGCACTCGCTGTTGCTGATGATCTGGACATCGATGCACTGCAGCCAGTCGGCCAGGTTTCCGTTGTCCATGCCACCCCATCCGCAGGCAACACACCAGGTGTCCTGGAAGCGCTCGTTCTGCTCGTTGAAGCTGGGCAGGGCCACCTTGTTGACCAGGTTGTTGAAGTCCACGTGGGGAGTGCGGATCAGACCGATGTCACGGCCACCCTGGTTGGGCCAGTCGGGGTGGCTGATGAAGTTGTCGCGGCGCACATTGTGGGAGAAGGCTCCGTTCCAGCCCCAGTTGGAACCGTAGTGGATGTCCACGGAGTCAGTGGTCAGGCAGTGAGCAGCAGTCAGAACCCAGTTGTTGGCGATGATGGTACCAGCTCCAACGGCGGCTCCGTTGCTGCCATCGGTGCGGATCAGCAGACCGACAATGTAGGGAGCCTTGCCCTCGGGAGCAGGGTATCCCAGGACAATGCGACCCTCCGGAGTCTCAGAGATGGTCACCTGGGGCAGCAGGGAGGTACGGTTGGCCGGAGTGGCAGCCACCAGGGCGCAGGCCACGGAGAGAGTTAGCAGAAACAGTTTCATGACTGGGAAGAAACTTAACTTTCTGGTCAATGCCCGTCCGCTTTTATACGAATTCTGAGCCGATAAGGATTGATAAGGCATCGCTCTGTTTACTATCGCACCCATTCACAAGCCCCCTTTGGAAGCACTTGTTGTTGAATTAGCATCTCAGGGGGGATTTTGGCACTTCACTTCGGGAGCTATCGCTCCTAGTCGGAAATGCAAAATATACTGTAGGCGTAGGGACTCATAAATCTCTCGTACCCCTTAGGATTGGAGTGCCGATAAGGGAGAGGCAACTAACTAATCAATAAATTCGGTGCTGATATGACTAATGTCAGCTCACTGAAGTGATATGGTAAAAGTTGGCTAGCCAAGATGGTAGCAACCAAAACATATAAGAAAAACATGTCATATATTAAATTAAATTCATCTGAGAAAGCAGACATTTATTACAATAAAGTTAAACCTAGCATGTGTGTGGTTTATGAGCGCTTTTAGTTGTCAGTTTTTAATTCTCTGTCTCTGAATTCTAAATTTCGATGTCCAACCAAGCTTTACTTTGAATTCAATTTAAGTAAATGTATAATAATATTGGGGTATAACAAAGTAAATACATTTTATATAATTCATTAATAACTAAAACGGTTACTTTAACCTTTTTATATAAATAATGGCAATATGCCAGTATATCTTTGCGGTTGGTTACAATTATCATTGTTTTGTTTACATTATCAACCACTTCAGGTCTAATACTTTATTTAATTAAATATGTATTTTTGCAAGCATTTCACAAAAAAATATAATGCTTACTTTCAAGAGCATGAAGGAAGAGAGATAAAGATATTAGAATTTTAGAATTAGAGCCTTGACATATATTTCTGATATCATAATACCCTTTCAGGGGATTATAATTTTAGTTAGTAGCTTCTAAAACTTGAAAGGAGTCATTTTCGACCCCATAAAGTATATATATTTTTGATCAGCATCAACAGCTGAATCTACCTGGCCATATTCTATCAAAAAATACATTTTCAAATTTTTTTCAAAATTTCAAAATTTTATAACGGGTAAAATTTCAACAATTGACAATAATTTTAATTTTTTTTAAACTTAATATTTAATATGCAAATTTATAAACCTGATAAAAATTAACATACGGACGTTATCCGAATTCAAATACATGTTTTTTTTGGCATAGTTAAGAGTTTTTTAAACTTTGATTTATAGGAAAATTTGTAATATAAATTATTTACTTTAAGCTTAAATATGATTGATTTCCGATTTGATTCTATTATTTATTAGCAAACTGCAAGATAGATAAACAGCATCTTCCCGAAGTAAGTTTTTATTCTTGCTTTTGTCTTATTGTCAATAACGTCAGTGGCTTTTCTACAGAAGCTTTATAATTTAATAAATGTATGTTAATAATCTTTTGACTCTTAGGTATTCCTTTACAACAAAATCTTTGGGGCTGAAACCATATTTGAAAAAGCTTTTAATGAAAGGAAAATTCTTATCCCTACCTCAACTTAACGTTATGTGATTCGGGTTTTTTCCCCTTCATAAAACAAATATCATTTTGCCTTTTTAAAAGATTTTATTCATTGCTCTATGACATTCCAAGAAGTTTTAGTAGGAGATGCCAGTATGGTCACGGATCCATCCCAAGAAGTCGGTGACGCGGGTGTATCCCGAGGGACCATTGTGGCAACCCACGGAACCGAAGGTGATCACTCCGACCAGACGGGCATTGTCGTGTGTAACCAGGGGGCCACCAGAATCTCCGCCGCAGGAGGACTTTCCATCGGACATGCGGGTGCACATGTCAGTGCTGGCCACAGATCCGTAGGACCTCTCGCACTCGCTGTTGCTTATAATCTGCACGTCCATGCACTGCAGCCAGTCGGCCAGGTCGCCGTTGTCCATGCCACCCCATCCGCAGGCAACACACCAGGTGTCCTGGAAGCGCTCGTTCTGCTCGTTGAAGCTGGGCAGGGCCACCTTGTTGACCAGGTTGTTGAAGTCCACGTGGGGAGTGCGGATCAGACCGATGTCACGGCCAGCCTGGTTGGGCCAGTCGGGGTGGCTGATGAAGTTGTCGCGGCGCACATTGTGGGAGAAGGCTCCGTTCCAGCCCCAGTTGGAACCGTAGTGGATGTCCACGGAGTCGGTGGTCAGGCAGTGAGCAGCAGTCAGAACCCAGTTGTTGGCGATGATGGTACCAGCTCCGACGGCGGCTCCGTTGCTGCCATCGGTGCGGATGAGCAGACCGACAATGTAGGGAGCCTTGCCCTCGGGAGCAGGGTATCCCAGGACAATGCGACCCTCCGGGGTCTCAGAGATGGTCACCTGGGGCAGCAGGGAGGTACGGTTGGCCGGAGTGGCAGCCACCAGGGCGCAGGCCACGGAGAGAGTTAGCAGAAACAGTTTCATGTCTGGAAGGAAACTTAGCACTTCGAAAGTAGCTGACCCTCTTTTATATAGATGTCTACTCGATCGATAAGGTTTATCGCAGACACTTGAAACCAAGTATTAGTCTCCTTAGATTTAAAATGTTTTAAAAGTGGGCAAGAGCTTTCCTTGTCAAGCTCATTCAAATTTAGCTAAATATGGAAATCTTCAACACTTATTTATATTTTAAATACCAATCATAAATAATGTGGGATCTCTCGGTACGTGCTCTTGATAAAGTCTTTTGTTTTATTATACTTTTTCACATCTTTACGGATGCATAGTTTTTAATTTTTATTGAATATTCCTTAAATCTTTACATTTCTCTTATTTTATCCCATGAAAACACAAATATTTGCAGCTCATTTCAGAAATATATTTACACATGTGCATTAGAAATATGTGCAGGTTAGATATATGTATATTGGGTTTCATATAGCCAAGGTCGTTTCATCCAATTAGTAATAGGCGATACCGGACTTCTCCCGGATCCAGTCCAAGTGATCGGTGACTCGGGTATAGCCAGAGGGTCCACTCTTGCAGCCCACGGAGGCAAAGGTGATTACTCCAATCTGCATGGGATTGTCGTGTGTGACCAGAGGGCCACCAGAGTCTCCACCGCACACGGACTTGCCGTCGGTTTGGCGGGTGCACATGTCGGTGCTGGCCACACTTCCGTAAGAGCGTGCACATTCATTGTTGCTAATCACCTGCACGTCCATGCACTGCAGCCAATTGGCCAGATTTCCATTGGACGTTCCTCCCCAACCACAGGCCACGCACCACCAGTTCTCGAAGCGCAGACTCTTCTGGTTAAACTTGGGCAGGGCCACCTTATTGACCAGATTGTTGAAGTCCACGTGAGGAGTCCGGATCAGGCCGATATCGTGGCCAGCGGTGTTGGGGTATCCCGGATGTCGGAAGAAGTTCTCCTTCCTCACATTGTGCTTGTATTGGCCATCCCAAGCCCTGTTCGAGCCGTAGTTAATGTCCACGGAGTCGGTGGTGAGGCAATGGGCGGCGGTCAGGACCCAGGTGTTGGCGATGATGCTGCCACCACCGACAGCGGCTCCATTGCTCCCATCGGTGCGAAGCAGCAGGCCCACGATGTAGGGAGCCTTGCCCTCGTAGGCATTGTAACCGTTCACGATGATGTCCTTGAGAGCATCGTCCTTAGGGACACGAGTGCGATTCCTATTCCGATGGGCGCTGGCTGCGGCCAGAAACAGAACCAACAAAACCAGTTTCATGGTCGTGCTGAAACATGGATCTCCAGCGGATTGTCTTTTCAGTTTTATACCCGCAAAATTTACCCCATTAAGGCCTGGGACTTTACCCGATATTTTCTTTGAACGTAATTAGTTTTAAAACTCCGGAAAATGATCGTTAGTTTCTTACACCTAATGGTTTCCGTCATTAAGACATTCTAGCAGGGATTTGCTAGATAAATAATAAGAAGGAAGATTTTCTTAAAGCGTGGTGTATATTCTAATTTTATTTAAAAGTTTATCTTGATGCACAAACAAAGCATTAACAAAATCCCAAAGCTAATATAACAGAAAGTGTCTCTGCTTAGTAACTGGGGCTCAATCTTCTCGGGCGATGGGACTTTACCCCTTCTTCCCTCTGGAAATCATTAGTTTGCAAGCTTCAGAGAGTTATCGGTTTCTTTCAGTTACAAATGAATACCGTCATTAGCTTAGACTTGTTTTCATTACTCCATGAATATTAACACAAATATTTCCTCCTTAATTTACTTCCTTAGATGCAACGTGGCCGTGATGTTGCTCACCGATATTGTGGTGGATGGTATTCCGGGAATCGATTGGACTCTTCACCTACCACTGATGCTGCACATTTTGTTCCTGGGACTGGACCACACCAGGATCATTGTGAGGGAACACTGCAAGCAACTGTGCGTCAACCTACTGATAGTGCTGGCGGAGCACAACGATCACCTGACGGTGGCCCGCATCCTGCTGAACAGCGAGACCAGCAAACTGGACCTGGGACTGACTGTGCCAGCTCTACCGGTGATCGACAACAATTTCACGGAGCTGCACCAGCAGTTTGATAGCTATCTGCTCCATGTGAGTCCGCAGGCGGCAGCTTATGCCCTGCAGCACAACCTTTCCAGCTCCACGATCATAGCAGCCCACTCAGGAGTGGGTCCGGGTGCGGGCTCTAACCAGCAGAATTTGCCACAAACGCCACAGAACCAGCAGCAGGGAGCTACAGGTGCACAGAGTGGACAGAATACGACGACGCCACCAGGATTGACAGCAACGCCGGCAGCCCTGCAAATAAATCCAAACAACTCTGAGAACTCGGAAGTGCCGCTAATCCATCCCGATGAACATGCTCCTCCGCAGCCCGGTCCTAGTATGCCCATCGCTCATGTGATCAAAAGCCTGCTGAAGTTCCTCGCCCAGGACACGTGCCAACCGCTGTGGAACTACGAGGATATCACGGCGAAAGTGTGGGCGGTGAAGTCGGCGGAGCAGTTAAGCTGCTTCCTCAAGCACATGGTCAAGGTGTTTGCGGATAGCTATCCACAGGCTCGCATCGCCGAGCGGTGGGCCCAGACTGCCCTACAGTTGGGGCTGTCATGCTCGTCGCGTCACTACGCCGGTCGCTGCCTGCAGATCTTCCGCGCCCTCAACGTGCCCATTAACTCGAGGATGCTGTCGGATATACTCTCGCGACTGGTGGAAACCGTGGCCGAGCAGGGCGAGGATATGCAGGGATATGTCACGGAGCTGCTGCTCACCTTGGAGGCTGCCGTTGACAGCTTGGACTCGGACTTCCGTCCCCTGGATGTGATGAAGGACATCTTTAAAAGCACGCCGAATTTAAACAACAAGGATGGCGGACCCAATTCCATTCTGCCTGGGAAGAAATCGCCATCCGGCATGACCCCACAATCGTCGAACTACTCCATTCCCAGTCATGGACGGAGCACCAGCTACTCGGTGTCATATTGTGGTAGGAAGGCGAACAACTCGCCCTGTGACAAACAGGTGGAACTGCGCAATCGATCCTCTGGGATCGATCTGGAGCGCAGTGTCGTCTGCAAGTTTGGTGTGGGTGGCGGTGGCGTTGGTGCCGGATCAGCACTGTCCCGTTCCCGCAGTGCCCAGAGCCTCAAGATGCTGGGCGACACGGCTACGCAGGACGACAAGATGACCATACTGGCACAGCTCTTCTGGCTTTCCGTCTCCCTGCTGGAATCGGACTACGAACACGAGTTTATGTTGGCACTGCGCCTGCTGACCAGGGTGCTGCACCGCTTGCCACTGGATCGACCGGATGCCAGGGACAAGGTGGAGAAGCTGCAGCAGCAGCTTAAGTGGACTGCATACCCGGGAGTGCATGCACTGCTTCTTAAGGTTGGTATTTCATCAATAAGAGTTTTGCTTAAGATTACAATCATTGTTCTATATTTTCAGGGCTGCACCCACAGTGCCACCTACGAGCCCACCATCACCCTGCTCTCCCAGTTCGCTCCGCTGCTGACTTTGCCCGTCTGTGATCCCACCCAGAGCTGTGCCTTCCCCATGAACGTCATTGCCCTGCTGCCCTACATGCTGCTGCACTATGAGGACGCCAATGAGATCTGCATTCGCAGTGCAGAGAATATTGCTCAGGTGTCCACCGAGCTGGGTGCGAAGCTGGAGAATTTGGGAACTGTAATGACTTTATACAGCCGAAAGACATTCTGCAAGGAGTCCTTCCAGTGGACAAAGTGTGTGGTCAAGTATCTCCATGACACCTACGCCCACATGGGTCTTCATATGGTGGCGTTCCTCATCGAAGTCTTGGAGAAGGGTCCGCAGCAGGTCCAGGTGCCCGTGTTGAATGTGATCCACTGCATGCTGCACTACGTGGATCTGTCGGCTCCACAGGCTCAGACCATCAATGCGGATTTGCTGAGGGCCATTGGAAAGTACTTGGATGTAAGTTGAACATATTTCCATATCCTATTTGTATTAAATTATGTAAAGGTTGATGCCTTATATTAGTTCCGATTATTTGATTATAAATCTGTCAATCGAACTTTAAGAAACAATAATGTTAGGTTTATTGTGATAACTTCATTTGCTTTAGTTAATTTGTGTTGTTAGATTGCAATCTAATCTGAGTGGCTCGTTTCCCCCTTTTTCGATTATAATTATCAGTCATAAAATAAATCTTTGAGGGGCTGAAATTAGTGCAAAGTTAGTGGTGACAGAAATGGGAAATGGGCGTTACGCATCTAATCATTTATATTTTCTTTCTCTGTGAATAGCTGTTTAATACCTTTCCTCTCTTTCCCCTCTAGACTGTAAACTGGAAGGATTCTCTCAAGATCCTCAAGCTGATTGTGACGCGCAGCTCATCGCTGCAGGTGGTGCCGCCCAGCGATGGCGGTAGCGCCGGCTTATCGTTCTCCTTCTATGGCGCATATCCGGACTCGGATATGTTCTGTAAAAAGGAACTGGCCGGTCGCACCATGGAGTTCACTTTCGATGTCTCGCAAACACCTCTGATTGGTCGTCGCATCCTGCTGAAGACCGAGGAACCGGTGACCACCGGCGCCACCTCCACCACAGGCAGCTCCTCGCTGAACTCCACACTGACGAATGCAACCACGGTGACGGTGGCCCCCAGTAGCGTGGCTCAGCAGCAAGCGAATGCCCAGCTACAGCAGCAGCGGGCACACTCCAATGTGGCGGCCATTGCAGCCGCAGCTGCAGCTGCCCAGCACCAGCAGCAGCATGCCATCGGAGCCGGAAACAGTGTGGTGGGAACTCCGAATTCTCCACGAAGGAGTGCCAGTTTGTCGCCGGCGGACACGGTGCCGCTTAGCGGATGGAAGCGACCCTGGATGTCGCAGTGTCGTGTGCGTGAATGCCTGGTGAATCTACTGACCACCTGCGGGCAGCGCGTTGGCCTGCCCAAATCGCCCTCGGTAAGTGATTCAGAGGAGGAGGATCCTTCACGCCGGCCGCTTGTACATAGCCAGGTGCATGCCTTAGGCTCCCCTAGAGCTCCTCCCCTCTTCTTCTCATGCATTTGCAATTATTTACCTCTAACTCTTTTTCTTTCATGTAAACAATACCAAAACCAAATACCAATATCAAATCCAATACCAAAACAAAAAAAACTAACACGCATTATCATCATTAACCAATCCGAATCCGATACCAAAATCGAAACATATCTAGGACGATTTCATAAACTCAATTTGCTCCAAGGTAAAGGACACGTTTCTATGTGCCGCGTCTCTAGTTTTGCTTTTGTGTGATCTTAAGGTTCTCTCGCATGTCGTAGTAGCTTTTCCAAAAGAGATTTTACCTCATTTTGAACTTGATTATAAAAGAAAAATACACCAAACGAATGTTTTCACAACATAATATTAACTATTGAGAAATACTATATATGATTAGTTTTTGTGTTAACATAAAGTTCTTTTTTTACGAAAGCATTTTTGATTTATTTTTCTGTTCTGTTTGTTTGTCCTGTGTTCCATTACATCCATTTTAGTCGCCATTTTGCTATCTAATTCCTTTGTTCCGTTTGCATTTTGCGCATGTGTTTTGTTACAACTGTACTTTTCTGTTTGTGTTTATACTCTTTATCCTTAAAACAAAAAAAACGAAAACAAACACATTTAGTCGTTGAGCACGTCACTACTAACCGGATCGATTGCGACCAGACAAAGCGTAAGCTTTATCTCTATTACTCTTTCTCTATATTAATCATCTGAGTGTTATTGAAACTATTTAATGAATCGCTCACTAATGTGAATCCTATGAACCTTTAGGTCATCTTCAGCCAGTCCTCGGACTTGATGGAGCGCCAATCGTCGGCCGCCTCTTCCACGGAAGAAACATCGGGTCCTCAGGGCGATCTGAGCAGCGGTTCAAGACGCGACGACGGGCAGCCCGACTTCACCGTCTTCAAGGACTTTGACTTCTTGGAATACGAAGACAGTATTGCCGGCGAGTCCACGGATAACTTCAATTGGGGCGTGCGGCGCCATCAGCTCTTCGAGGGCGATGAGGATCGTTTGAACTGCGGCAGTGGCATCGGTGGCTCCATCAAGGGTGGGCATTCGTCCGCTTTAGAGGACAGCTTCAGTGATAAGACGCCCATTTTGAGTAAGCGCAAACGACAGACTGCCGACGATTCCTCCGATGAGGAGGGGGAGTCTGAGTCACCCTTAGATGAGGACCATCGTCAGTCGTTCCTGAAGTCCGGCTACAGCGCGGTGCCACCCACTTCGTTGAGTTTGCGGGAACGACGGCGTCGTAACTCGGTCTCCAGGAGCGATACCAGTGGCTCGAGTGCAGGTGACTTGGGCGACATCACACCGTGCAATGCGTCGCCGCATCTGCCCGGCATCATTCGCTTTGGTGCCGCCATCCGGGACGAGGCCGAGGAGAACTGGCGCCGTCAGCTGCAGGCCATGTTGGTCAACCAGCCCTCGGCTCACACCTCGGAGTTACTGCAGCAGCTGTACCGCCTGATTAGGGAGCTGACCTTTAAGACCATCAGCATTTCCAAGGAGGCGAAGAAGTTCTTTACCGGCATCGGGTCACAGCTTGGCAATCGGATCTCTCTCTTTACGGATCTCCTCAGCTCACGGGCGGATCCACCGCAGGTGTGGTGCAGCGAGCTGCAAGCCACCACGCCCAAGCTTTTCGAGACGCTGCGCTTCAATGTGCTGGAGGTGCAGGAGCATTTGGAGACCTTCTTTGATCGCAAGGATCAAGTTTTGGATGTGAGTTGTAAAACTAGAGATTTTAGAAGTAGGTTAACTAATTTGCTGATTTTTCAGTGCTTATACGCAGTAAAGACCAGCTGCAAGCTGTCACTCTTCAACGAGGCGGACGTGGCTGCCTCGGGCCTGGAGCTGCCCACCTCCTCGTCCAGCATTGCCTACATGCCTTTCGACCCAGCCTCCACCGAGGTGGTTCTCGACTTGGGTCGCTCTCTGTACAAGCTGATGTTCCAGCTGCTGCTGCTCATCGAGTCCAATCACAAGATATCCTCGAACGTTGTGAATCATTTCCGTATCAACGAAGACGTGAGTGAATGAGTTCCTCTTGGATTCCATATCCTAATCTCACTTTGTTGCAGATGAATGACATATCCAATCTCTATGCCCTGGTTCGCGATGCCTTGGTGCGTTACACCAGCGAGGCCGAACTGGATTGCCTGGAGTCCTCGACCTCGACGGAGGGTGAACACACGCCCACACCCTCGCCCGGCTTGCCCATGAGTCAGGAGGAATTCGAGGCAGCTCTGAATGAGCATATCGACCTGCAGCGATGGCCCAGCGCCATTGCTCATGTGCGTCAGTATAGACGGGTGTCGACACTGAATGCCGCGGGTGATCAGAATCTGACCATATTTAGCTACAACAGCCTGGACAATCGCCATAAGTGGGACGAGATGACGGTGATACTCAATGCATATGCTCATGGAATCATGAAGGATCGCACAGGTGAGTCTTAGCATTCATAGGATGGCCTCCCGACTTGAAATTTCTCTATTTCTTCTTCTCCCTCAGCAGAAGCCTTTATTGCTTCCAAATCGGACTCTGAGTTGTTTGAGATCTATGCCATTCTCTCGGAGAACCTATATCACGTGTCCAGCGCTCTGACCAACATGGAGATCAGCATGAAGAGCTATTCGGCGGGCAGCGCCACGGGTCACGTTCATCATCGCAGCGAACAGGATATTGTGACAAATCTATAGGATTTAAGTGCTTAGGCTAAGGCACCCTTTTATATGTAATCCGCTAGAAAGTAAGATGCATAAATCCTAGACACTACCGTGTACGTAAGCGATCATTATTAACTATATGTGTGCGAACAAATGTGAGTAATTATGCAAAAATATATATTTATCAATGAAAAATAGTAACCTAATTCGCTTTAAGAGACGTTTCCCTTTTGTAATCGAAAGAGTGGCACATTTATTTTATTTGTGGTGGCAAAAACCACTGACTGTTGGTTAAAAACAAAACATTTATTAATTATTAAGTATTTACATTTAAAACAAGCCATCCATTGGACCAGAGTTAAACTAAGAACGATTTAAACCGACCCACCAGCTACCAGAGCTAGGCGAATAGGTTCTTGAGCGCATTTCGTTGCTGACGATTGTACTGGGCCAGTAGCTGCTTGGTGCTGTTCAGTTCGTTGAGGATCTGCTTGTTCTCCGGCAGGAGGTTGTGCGCCTTCTTCAGATCGTTGATGGCCTCCTCGTAATTTCGCAGCGCTCGCTGTGCCTGACCGCGCCGATAGAACGCCTTGCTACAGTTGGGATCCAGGCGAATGGCCTCGGAGCAATCGTATTTGGCGCTCAAATAGTTGCCCAGCTTCAGGTCCACGGCCGCGGCGTTAATGTTGTTCACCACCGAGAAAGCATCGATCTTGAGCAGATCCTCGTCGACTAGGTGCTTTTTGAAGTGGTTCAGCTGCTGCCAGCCAAACTGTTTGCTCAGGTATTGATAGTAGCGGTTCGCCTTGCGGTACTTGGCACGGGCCTCATGATAGCGGCCGAGCTGATAGAAGTGATTGCCCGATTGGCGAATGCCTGTAAGCAGCTCCACTGCCGCATCCGACTGCAATGGAAGTAGGTCAATAACAAAGTCAACAATTACCCTGAAAATGTTCCTGACTCACAGTAAACTTGTCAAACTTTCGAGTCCAGTCTTGCGGGTAGGGTGGCAGCTTGTCTGCCGTCTCGTCACTGCACTCGAGACCCCAGTCCTCTCCTGGTACTAGTTCTCCGCAGTCTCGTATCACGATCTCCGCAGTGGGATCGCCGTCATCGTTGCAGTTTTGTTCCATTTCGGCTACGATTGCCAGGCCGCGCAGCACACGACCCACAACTACATTGATTCCATTCAGATTTTCACATCCCACGGCCGTGATAAAGAACTGTGAGTTATTGGAGTTGGGCTTGCCGTAGTTGGCCATGCTGACTGCGCCCTCCTCGTTGTGCTGTGCGGGATAAAGGTTTCTCTCACTGTTACATCACGGGTCTAATTTAATTAATAAATCATATGATTTCTACAAACCGTAAGCTCAAAATTCTCGTCCTCAAAAACTGGACCGTAAATGCTCTCGCCGCTGGTGCCATCGTTTCGGACAACATCCCCGCTCTGGACGGCGAACACCCGCTTGATTCTATGGAAGCGGTTGCCCTTGTAGTGAAGCGGCCGCCCCATCTGGCCCACGCCGCACTCGCCCGTGCACAGGGCGCGGAAATTTTCCGCTGTCTTCGGCACAACATCCTTGCGCAGTTCAATTATCATGCGTCCCGCTGTGAAGAGAGACGACAAAGATGGATGTGGCACCCAATCAGCAGTTGGTATAACGATGCTGTGAGTCTCCAGCCATAAGGCGGAGATTCAACCACTCACCGTCCTCCTTTCCAATGTCGATATCCAGGTAGACAATGGGATTTGTCGCCTTCACCGGGCTCAGCAACTTGCGTTGATCCATTGTTGGCCTTGCCGGGCGGGCCTATGACTTTTCACTGCCCGCCAACTACAGTGAGTGGACGGAAACGTTCATTTTTTATTAGCCGTTTTATTTTTCCAAATCGGACCAGAATTTGTTTACCAATTGCCTTTATTTCTGCAGTATGGCCGTTGGCGTAAGTGAGTAAAATCCCCAAGGTAACACTCCAGCCGTGATGTCGTTCCAGCCCATCAGTGCATCTAATTTAAATTTAAATCTATTAACTTGATATTTTATTAAGTCTCTATATTGATATTTTTCAAAAGTTTGGCTTAATATGATTATAAATACAATCTTTTTAGCTATTTTTGTTCTCTCAAATATAGATTTTTTCTAGCTAGAGCAATTTCAGTGCTCCGAAGCTAGTTTAAAAAGTAAACACATGTCAATAGCGGCGCTAATGTGCAAATGTATGAATTTCTTACATTTTAAAATGGTAAATAACGGAAATAAGTTTGTTCACTTTTGTCAGAAGTTGAATATGTAATTAATTTATTGTAGGATTAACTAAAATAAAAAAGGTTTTTACCTTTTTTCGTATAATTATAAAGATACATAAACAGTATTGAATCCGAATGGAATCATAAGAACGTTTTAAATAATTTTAATGTTTATCAGCGTCTGGCGTTGATTTAAAAATATATTTCTGCAATAAAATATTGAAAGTATAGGATGAAGTATGCAAATATTTAAAGTCTTTAACACTTTTTTTTTCTGGCGTTAAACGTAATTTGTCTTTATAAAACATTAAAAAAGTAAAGTCTTATTTCAGAGTAAAGACAATGACCGCCTTTAATAATTCTAATTGGTTAATAAATGAACTTTTGTATGTCAAAGAAATTTGTAATTTTAGAAACTTGTTTATTATATTTATATGTGGATTAAAAAGTGTATAGAAGGCACCTAAGTTTCTTCCCCTAATTGAAATTGATTGAAAATTTTATTTAAAATAAAATGTAGACGTATATACGTTTTAAATCGATTAATTAGTATAAACCAAATCAAACTTACCAAAATTTGCATCGAGGTGGTTGTGTGTGGTCAAGTTTTGGGACTTGTATTAAAAGAGACATATTTTGCCTCAAATATAACATATTTGTAAATATATATTTTTAAATATATGTGTATATATAATGCCGTGTCTTTAATATTCTTGTGTTTGTCCCTACACTCTTTCCTATGAAGTTCGACTTTAATTTAATGATTAGGAGGCTCCTTTAGGTCTTAGGCATTGTGCTCCTTCGATGAGCTCTAAATTTTTAATGGTTTAAAGACACGCCCCTCCAATTTCGATAATTATTTGTGTCCCTATTGAGTTGCACAATAACCACAACTTATAGCAAATTATTTCATGTTAACCGTATAATTTGGGAGCAACTAATTGAGACCCGAAAAGCCATTGCGAATGCCATAAAAGTGTGTGGACATCGGTGTCTCTGCAAGCAGTATTAAAAACATCCTTAAGGAATGCAGGACCTACTAGATCAGGAGCTGGAACAGATCGACAAGCTGCCCAAATTGGGCCTTCAGTGGGTGGAATACAGTGCCTATGCGTTGGGGGTTAATATAGCGCCGAGGAAGCGCAGCTCCAAGTACTGCAGATTGTAGGATTTTTGTATTTATTCTTGATCGGATTTTTTGATTACTTTGATTTATATATAGAACCCGTATTGTGGTGGTGATAGTCAACCTGAGCATCATCTACAGTCTCGTGGCTTTCATCATGGAGAATTACCACGTTTCCTTTGAGACCTATGTAGAGGTTTGTTTTGGTTCATTAATATTATTATAAATCATTATCCGTTTTCTCTCATTAGGCCGTGCTACTTACCTTTCAACTGAGCGTTGGTGTGGTCAAAATGTTTCACTTTCAGAGCTTTGTGGATTCCTGCTCCCAGTTGGTATACTCCACGGAGGCAGGAGAGGTTTTAAAATCCCTGGGAATCTTTGATTTGGGTAAGGAATTTATTTTTTTATATTTCTCCTTCGGTTTTAATAGTTATTTATCTTAGATTTGCCGAAAAAACAGGATCTACTAAAGTCATTACGCCTTATTTTGCTCAACAACTGGGTGATTATTGATCGGCAGGTGATGTTCTTTTTCAAGATCGTCACTATGCCTGTGCTATACTACACCTTACGACCCTATTTTCAATATATCTTTGACTGCTATATTGTCAAGGATACCTGTGAAATGACTCTAAGTAAGTCCTTCAAGAAATAACCTATAGTTTTACTTATTTTTAAAGTACTTAACTATTTAAAGCTTATCCTGCCATCGTTCCCTATGTTCAGCTGGGAAAGTATCAGTTTCCCTCTTATGTAATTCGCTTTTTCTGTTACAATCGGGTCCACTTTGGTGCTTTTTTGGTATGTTCTTAAACCAATAAAATCTTTTCATTATATACATGATTTTTCCTCTTAGCTGTCTTTGGTTTCAACAGCCTCTTTGTGGTTCTCACCAGGTATGAGTCAGGTCTTATTAAGGTTTTGCGTTTCCTGGTTCAGAATTCCACCTCGGATGTGTTGGTTCCTAGGGATCAGAGAGTTAAATACCTTCGTTGCTGTGTGAGGTTATTTTCTCGTATAAAAAGGTATGTTTATGCAAGCTAAGGGAAAACTATTTAATCTCTTCTCATTTAGTCACCATAACCAAGTGGAAAATGTCTTCAAGTATATCATCCTGGTTCAGTGCTCTGTCAGTAGCATATTGATCTGCATGCTGCTCTACAAGATTAGCACAGTTTTGGTGGGTTTAGTTATTAATTCTTTAGTTTTAAGGATCTATGTATATTATATTTGAATTTTCAGGAAGTGGGCTGGGTATGGATGGGCATGATTATGGTTTACTTTGTGACCATTACTCTGGAGATCAGCTTGTACAATCTCAGTGCCCAAAAGGTGGAAACCCAGGTGAGTTGTTACCTCTTCTGATTGATTTTCCTTCTAAAGATTTTGGATATCCTCAGAGCGAACTACTTTTCCAAGACTGGTACAATTGTAATTGGTATAATGAGTCCAAGGAATTCAAGTTCATGATCAAAATGATGCTTCTCTTCACCCGCAAAACCTTTGTTCTCAGCGTTGGGGGTTTTACCAATCTCTCCCACAAATTCTTGGTTCAGGTAATGCATTTAAATAAATTTATATATGTAATACCAGTAACTTTTCCCCTTTGTAATAATAGGTATTTCGGCTGAGCGCCAATTTCTTTTTGCTGCTGCGAAACATGAACAACAAATAGGTGGTTTTACAAAATGACAACGTTGGAAAAGTTATATTTTGAAGGGAAACTCTTTAAGCGACTTACACACAAAGATACATGGTAATTGTAATTGGCACATTAAACGTAGATGACAAATATGTTAAAGTATAAAAGTATAGAATAGATTTCAGGTGGAGCTATGGTAGAGATAGATACAGAGATATGCGATTGGTTCATCGGATTACATTGGAGTACAAGGTGTCGTCGTGGCTCTTTAACATATAATACAGTCCATGGCTGGTGGCTTGAAAACTAACTGGAAAATCTCAGTTGGCAGTTGAATCGTAATAGTATCATTTATATGGCATTCTGTAGGCGAACAATGATAACGTTGCTCGTGTTTTTAAGTTTTCTTTCTTTCGGGGGGAACCTTGTCTTGTCACTAAACAGAATATTTCGGCTAAGGCACTAAAATTACATAATTTCATTCAACGGCTACGTGCTATCATAAATCTGATTTGTTCGTCTCGTTCTCGTTCTCTTTCTCGTACTTAGTGTTAATTGAAGTAGTTGTTATTGGTAGTGGCTCTGCTTCCGCTTCCGCTTTCGCTTCGGGATCCCTAAGGTTCCAGGCGATTGCGACTGAAGCAATTGTCCGGCAGGGACTTGGAAATAATACCAATATTGTTCACCTCGTTGGAGAGCTCCTTCAGCTCTGCATCGTACTTGTCGATCAGGTTCTTCTGGATAGTACGCTGATCCCGGTACTTTTCGATGCGTCCCGTCAGATTGACGCGATTGATCTCACCCTCGACGGTGGCCAGACGGTTTTCTGGGAGATTAGTCATTAGTAAGAAACCGATGCTTAAAGATCAAGGCAACTCTTTGTAACCTACCCAACTTATCCAAATCTCCTGTGTTGATATCCTTCAGGTTCTCCAGCTCATCCTTGATGGCTGCCAACTCGTCATTGGCCTTCTCGATCTGTTTCTGTGCATCCTCTGTATCGGCTCGGGCCCTTCCAACCTTGCGCTTGGCATCGTCCACCAGGTTGTCGTCCTTGGTGGAGCTCTCCTCCAGCTTGAAGATGTCCATTTCTGTGAGCTTCACCCGGTGGTTGAGTTGATCGGCTTCATCACGCAGGTTTCTGGCCGCCACCTTGGTCTCGTTGGCCCTGCGGCGGATAAGCTCGGCATCCTATTCAGAAATAAGGTCTCTATAGGATTCAGAAACATCTTAAAGATATGAACTAGGAACCCACCTTTGAGGCCTGCTCGGCATACTTCATCTGCGCCTCCTGGGCGTTCTTCTTGGCCTCGTTAGCATTCTTATTGGCTCCGGCCAGGGCATCCTCCGCCTGTCCGATCAGGCTCTCCGCATTCTGGATCTCCATCTCGATGTTGGGCACGGTCTGCAATGCCTGAGCGGCAGTTTCTGAGGAGCGCTGAACCTCGGACTGGAAACCGGCCAGCTTGTTGTAGGTATTGTTGGCCTCCTTGAGGGTATTGTCACCCTGCTCCACCGCCTTGGTGGCCTTGTCGTGGGCAGCCTTGGCCCTCTCCAGCAGCTCAATGTCCTCCCGTTGTTGTTGGTCGGCTCTGTTGGGGTAATAAATAAGTAAGCTAGAACTTTAAAGGATTAATCCAGGGAAAACTAACCTCTTAAGCAGCGTTTCCGTGAGTTCGCGCTCGGTTTCGAATTCGGCAAAGATCTCGCCATTATTGTTGGAGAGTTCGTTGATCTGCTTGAGCAGCTCGTCGGCCCGCTCGTTAGCCTGCGCGGCTTCCCTCTTCAACTGGTTAATGTCAATGTCCGGTTGCGTCTGGCGGTTCACGTCGTTCAGCAGGGTCAGGGCGTTGTCGTACACCTCGTTGGCCTTGCGCAGCGCCTCCTTGGAGGTCTGGGCCACAATGCCCACCTGCTGCTTCACCTGGCTCAGCTCCAGACCGACTTCGGAGCGCAGCTCAACAGCTATCTTCTGCTGCAGATCGATGGCACTCTTGGCCAGCTGATGGGCCTTCTCCACCGCATCCTTGGCATCCTTGGCGTTCTTCAGATCGAACTGAGCCTCCGACTCCAGCTTGTCGGCCAGGGCACGCGCCTCACGGGAAATATCAGAGATTTGCTCCGACTGCTGGCCAAACTCCACGGACTTCTCCTTGGCACGAGCCAGGGCCTGAGCTCCCTCGTCGTTGAGCAGATCGAGGGCATCCTGCAGCTCCTTCTTGGCGTTCTCAGTGATCTGGTTGAGAATGGTGTAGTTTTGGCGCGCCTTTTCGATCTCGGCATTGGCCTCATCCTGCAGCTTGTCCGCACTCTGCAGGTGCTCCCGGACGCTGTCCAGCTTCTTTTGCAGGTCGTGGATCACCTCGGCATAGGTCTGGCCACCTTCTCCTGAATTGTCACTTGCGTCCTGGGCCAGCACGGCCACCTTCTCCTGGACAGCCTTGAGCTTGGCCTCGAACTCCTCGTCGTTGGTCACCGGTGTGCGGGCGATCTCGTCGAGGGTCTGGCTGAGATTGGCCAGCTTGGCGCGATGCAGATCAGCGGCTTCCTGCACGAGGTTGTAGCAGTCGGGGCAGTCGATGCAACCACGATGACGATCATACTTGTTCTCCTTGCAACGGTCGCAGCGGCGTCCCTCGACGTTGTCGTTGCACGGACACTGACCGTTCTGGTCGCACTGGAAGCCCTTGGAGCCGCTCTCATCGCACTCACAAGGCTGGCAGCCTTCGGCGGAGAAGCCGTAGAAATAGTTGGCGCACTGGTCACAACGCTGGCCCACCACTCCGGGACGGCAATGGCACTGGCCGGTGTAGCGGTCACAGGTAGCGTTGTAGCTACCCACCGGATCGCACAGGCAGTTCTCACATCCGTTTCCGGACCGGATGTTGAAGTACCCCGGCTGGCACTCACCGCAATCCCTGCCGATCACATTGGGTTTGCACTGGCATTGGCCTGTCACCTGGTCGCAACGTGTGATACTTTGCTCGTCCTGCTCCGTGCCAGCCTCGTAGCAGCTGCAGCGATCGCAGCGTCCATGGGGCAGGGCCAGGGGATCTCCAAAGTGTCCGGGCAGACACTGGTCGCAGTGCTCGCCGGCCGTGTTGTGGATACACTTGAGGCACTCGCCCGTCGTCCGGTTGCAGTTGCCAACGGCATTGGGATCTACATTACCATTACAGTCGCAGCTCGTGCAGGTCTGCACGGAGCCCAGGAGTCCAGTGGGATCGCCGAAGAAGCCATCGCTGCACTGCTCGCACCGGGAACCAAAGTAACCTACCGGGCACTCGGTGCAGATGACAGTGTCGCCGTTGATCTGCAGGCAGGCGCCATCGTTGGGACAGGGACAGCGCTTGCAATCGTTGGGAGTTCCTCCCAGGGCATTGCCGTAGAAGCCCTTGGCGCACTGGTCGCAGTTGTCTCCGTGGGTGTTGTGGTGACAGATGCATCTGCCCGTCTCCGAGTCACAGATGTCTGCGTGACCGTGGCAGTCGCAGGGGATGCAGGGCATGAAGGGACCACCGAGGGCGGGACTATGCCTGTAGCCGGGGGCACAGGACTCGCAGAACTGGCCCAGGTAGCCCTCCGGACAGGTGCACTGCTCAATCCAGGTGGCCGGATGACCGGCAGCACCGCGATGCGCCGTCTGCAGTTCCACATCGTCGAGAATGGCCTCACCCTGCACCGAGTAGGTGGCCCGGATCTTAATGGCCGTCAGATTGGACAGGATCGAGAGGAAGCCCCGAGCCGACTGGCTGGGCTGCCAATGGTAGTCATGGTGCTCGTGCAGCCGGAACGTGTACTCCTTGACGCCCTGATCCGGAATACTGTTGCCCTGCGCAAAGATCGGCAGCGAGATGCGGCTGCCGGCGCCCTCCAGGATCACATCGCTGGCACTAGTGCTGGCCACCTGGCCCACCAACTGGAGCTTGAACTTCAGATCCCGATTGTAGGAGGCTCTCTGATCCCCAAGGAAGCGATCCGGGGCCAGGAAGTACACATGCTCGTTGCCCTGGGCCGTGGTGCCGATGCTGCGGCTGTACTGGTTGTACTTGATGTCCACCTCGCGCTGGTTCAGATCGATGGCTGTCCAGCGTTCCTTGAACTTGTTGAAGTTGGAGGCAACCGAGACGATGGAGTAGCCGGGCGCAGTTTGGCACTCGGAGGTGTGGCCATAGCAGAAGCAGGGAGTGCAGCCAAAGCGATTGATCTTGTCCAGGTTGAAGAAGCCAGGCTTGCATCTGGTTGGAAGAAGAGTAAAAGTTAGATAAGGTTCGATGGAGTCATCCTGGATAGATAGATAGCTTACTCATTGCAACGCCTGCCCTCGACGTTCTCCTTGCAGTAACAGATGCCGCTCTCAGCATCGCAGGCGGGTGTGTTCTCGTGAGATCCACGGCCATCGCAGCCACATGGCTGGCATCCATGGGGTCCAAATTGGTAGTAGTTGTTGTCGCAGCGATCGCACTTGTCGCCGGTGACACCGGGCTTGCACTGGCACTTGCCGTGGCTGTTGCACTGCAGCGACCGGGAGCCCACCGGATCGCAGCCACAGTTGATGCAGTAGCCGTCGTCGCGCATGTAGAAGTTCTCCTTGCAGCGCTCACAGTTGGGTCCATCTCGGTTCTCCCGGCAGTCCAGGCAGTGACCACCATGTCCCGTCAGATTGAAGAGATGGGCATCGAAGAAGCACTTGTCCGCCAGGCCATTGCAGTTGCAAGCTTTAGGAGAGGGTTAGTATTTAATTAGAATATCCTTACGATGTCATAAGGCTTAATGTTACAATTAACGAGGTACCATAGTGGCACTCCCGGCCCTATGAGATTGGTTTCGAGGCTGTAGTCACTGGACCAGGCCTGGACACAGGCCAAAGGCAATGCCACAAAGAAGACCGCGGGCATGAAAAGCACAAACATGACTGATTCGATGGTCATCTTCCGCTCAACTAATGCTGGCTAACGGCAAAGTGGTCTGTCCTTATAAGGAAACTCCACACAAGGACGGGAGTACAGTGGACACCAATGAGTACGAATCGG